TATTCATTTGTTCCCTCTCCTTTGCCCAGAACGAGCTCCGGCCACGTGTGCTGGGCTGGCGGGGCTGGCTGCGCACCCGGGCACGCGGCCGCGGGAGTGCATCAGGTTTCAGGACCCGGTCGTCCTAAATCCTGCAGGAGCCCCGCTGTGATGGGAGCCTCGGCTGTTATCTGGATCCTGGTATCTTTTTTTCTGTGCCATGTGGGACCGCGGTGCTCTGGCCGGGTGCTGTGTGAGCAAAGCAGAAAGTGATCCCATGCCCGAGCGGTGCTCAGCCTGAAGGAGACCAACAACGTAAAAAAAACACACCCTGAAATGTAAAAGATCATCCCAACAGGTTCTCCCGTAAAAAAAAATTGGGCTTAAGTGATGATTTCCCTTTAAAAAGAGCGTGAAACTTCACAATAATTTGTCTTTAATGTCTCCCAGGCTGGGAACTTGTAGGTGGAGTTTTAGCCCAAAATGAATTGAATCAGCCAAGTTGTATCAGCCAAGTTACAAACCCATCAAAACCCGAGGCCAGATCCTGATCTCATCACCGCGGGTACAAATCCAGCGTGGCTGCGCTGGAGTCGACGGGGAAGATTTTGTCACCGTGCCGGGGCGCAGAGAGCAGGATTGGACCCCAGGGTTTCTCATGGAAACACTGACTGAGCCTTGAGCACAAGGCAGAGCCGGGCGTCTGTGAAATCTCTCTCCATTCAGGGCTAAATATAGGGAGAGAGAGAGAGAGAGAGAGGGAGCGATTCAACTTTCTGTGCTCACGGATAAATAAACCCCAAGCCAGGAGATGCCAGGAGCTGCTGGGGGTCCGGCCGCCCCCGCGGCCCCATCCTGCGGAAGGCAGAGCCGGCGGCGATGCTGCCAGGAGGTGCCTGCTGCGGTGCTGGGCTGGGGCAGAAGGGGCTTTGGCTGCCTCTGCTTCCCTTTTTTTTCCTCTCTCTGCCCAGCCCTGAGCGTTGCTGGGCTCCGGTGCCCACATTTTGCAAGGTTCGTGCCCAAAGCTCATGCCCAGCCCGCTCGGTGCCGCCGGGAAGGGTCCCATCCTGCACCCAGCTTTGCCCCTTGCTGGGTTTGTCTCACCTGGGACTGAGCTTTCTTCTTGCTCCCTGGCAGCTCCCCAGAGCCTCGCAGCCCCAGAAAAATCCCCGAGCTGCCCTGCCACGTTATTGCTAATAAACCTCTCCTAGACCGTTCCTGCTATCTTTTACTCTACCAGCCCCGTTAATTCCTAATAAAGCAGCTTCTTCATCAGGAGGGGGGGCTGAAAATAAAAAGCGAAAGTGGGACAGGAGGGATTTGGGCCCAGTTTTGCTTTATGAGCGTAATTAGGAGACAAAATTGCTCATTCACCCAAGGAATTCATCACCAAACTGCTCCGGAGCTGCCAGACACGTGGGGTTTTCCCTGGGCACCCGGTGACTGCCGTGCCTTTCCTCTCCCCATATCCTTGTATGTTCCCATTTGGAGCAGGCTCGAAATCTATCAAAACCCCAATATTTGTGCCAGCCGAGGAAGGGCTGCGCCTTCCTGGCCACCCATGGGCAGGGGGAGGCTGGTACCATGGGTGGGGACACACCAAAGCCCCCCAGGAGCCCTGGGTGCTCCTGCTCCTTCCCTCTCCTTGCAGCACCCTGTGGTTAGGGCAACCCAAACGCCACCCCTTGAGATCTTGGGGACACCCCAGTCCCTTCCTCGAGGGATTTGGAAGGAGACAGCGAGATCCTCAGCTCCACCTCAAATAATGAACATTTCCCCCCCCCCCATTCCCCTGGTTCCGACCTCCTTCCGTTCATCACATCGAGGAGGAACCTCGTACTCGGTGTTTGCAGCGCGCTAACACCTCGGGGACCTCAGTGGGACTGAGGAAAGTCCCTGCTGCCGGGAGTGACAAGGCGGTGGGTAGTGCTGAAAGGGAGGAGGGAGAAGTGACAACGCCAGGGGGGGGCCGCTCGCGCCGCCGTCACCCGCAAGCTGTCGGTGGGGAGGCGGAGGGGCCCCGGGATCCCGAGTCCTACTTCGGTGCCTTCCTTCCAGAAACACCAGGAACGGCCAGGATGGCACGGAGGGCATGAGGTGCTGTGCCCCACGGTGCCCAGAGGAGCAGGATGTCACCGTGTCACCGCAGGGCTCTGTCTCATGGGGTCCCCCCTCCCGCGGTGCCTTCGCACCCTCTCGCAGCGCCCCGGTGATGCCGCAGGGCCAGGAGCAGGAGCGAAGGCGCAGGGATGCATCTCCTCCTCCCTGCTTCACAGCACGAAGCCAGCTCCAACACGCAGTGTGCAGAAACGCCAGGCCTCCCTAACCCGTGTCACCCCCCCGGGGCAGTCCAACCCGGAGGCATCCCTGGTATTTTGCTGGTGTCCCTGGTATTTTGCTGGTGTCGCTGCCTCCGGGCAAGAGGAAGATGCTGGTGGCCAAGGGGGGCTGGAGCAGGGCAAAGCCAGGGTGAGCTCAGCCCCTGCAAAACCCCAGCCGTGAGCAGGGAGAGGTGGCGAAGGTGGGCAGAAAAAAGTACGAGATGAAAAGGTGACCTCTCCGAGAAACAGGGGGAAGGAAACCATCAACACTGCCAGCCGCGGGAAAACAACAAGCAGCGACTGTTTGATTTGAATAATAACCATCAATAATACATCGCTAAGAAGCTGCAGATGACTGCAATTAAAAAGAAAAAAAAAGAAAAAAAAGCATTGCATTCCCTGAGCAAAATCTAAATTATTCCTCACAGCTTGTCCGCGCGCTGCGTTATATTAAAATGAAGCAGCTCCTGGTGCGGCGTGGCTCAGCGGAGCCCGGGAGCCCGGGTGGAAGGCATAAAAGAAGAAAAAAAAAGGCAAGGAGAAAGAAGAAGAGCCCTAATGTAGAAGGTTATAAATATTTTACAGCCGAGGAGGAGTGGGGAGCCACCGATATAGATGCGATTGCGGGCGTCCGTGGTGGGAGGGAGGAATTAATCACAGAAACAGAGGAGAAAGTTTTCTCCAGGAGCCCATGCACACACCCACGGCCAGAGCAGCTTGGATGGGGGGGCTCCTGGGTGCTGGGTGCTGGGGTCTCAGGGTGCTGGGCAGCATGGGGGCTGCTCCAGAGGGTGTAAAGATGACTTGGTGCCGATGCCTGCCCCTGCCAGGCACAGCGGGCAGGGTGCTGGGGCCAGGACGGGCACCGCGCTCCTTCTGCCTTTCGATTCCTCTGCAAACACGGAGTGAAAATGTTCCCCATAAAATAAAATCAAAAGATGAAACCCTGCGGGTGGGGCTGGGAACGACCCCGTGCAGGTGCTGTGCTTTTTTGGGTGCTGTTTGGGGGCTCTGCTCCCTGTGCCCGCAGGTGACAACCCCGCTATGCGCACCCTGCACCCTGCGGAGCCGCGGCGCTGAGCAAACAGCAGCCGTCACCCCTCCTGGAGCTATCCAAACACGGGCTCTGCTGTCCAAACACAGCTCCCAGAGCCAGGTGCCGGGCTTCTTGCACCGCTCCCCATCCCTGCTGGCGGAGGGAAGGGAGCGGGGCAGACACCAAAGGCTTCCCGGGGGAGGCTGGGGCTCCAAAGCAGGCAGCCGTGCAGCTGGAGACTTTCCCCACCCTACACAAACGGCTCCTTTCCCCGGAGCCCTGCGATAGCAGCGTGGGACACTGCTGCTTATCAGACACCCTGGTGCGCAGCAGGAGCAGGGGAGGCCTCCCAAGGCCAAGATGTTTTCTTTTTTCTTTCTTTTTTATTTTTTTTCATTTTTTTTTTCTTCTGTCTAGCTCTCAGCTAGGGCTTCCCAGGCACCCCAAGCACTTTGCAGCGCTGGGGACACCTCCGTCCCCCCTGCCCACAGCCCACAGGCAGCACAGGACGCCCGTTCCCAGCTCCAAGCTTTGTCTCCACCTTCCCTTTCTGTCCCAGCTTGGTCCCGGGTGCAAGCAGAGCACTGCTCGTTTGCACGAGGTAGCCCCAAGCCCTGGGCCACCGGCCCCGGCCATTCTCCTCCCCTGTCCCCAGCAGCACTGATTGGAAAAGCTCAGCGGCACCTGCTGGGAGCCTCTGCAGGTATTAAAACCTCTGCGCCTAAAAGCGCCTCTTTAAAAATTAAAGCCTCAGTGAGAAAGAAATGAGTCGTGACGGGGAGAGATGAAGCTCTCGGCATCTGCACATCGCTGAAGGAAGGAGCGCCGGTGCCGGCGCCGAATGGAGTCACCGTCCCTGATGCCCTGGCCAAAGGGATGGAGATGAAGTGATTTTGAGCAACCTGCTTCGTCCTGATGCTGAGCCCCATCCAAGCAGGGCAGTCGCAGCCCAGCCTTCTGCCACAGGCCCCATGGGGACCCCGAGGGTCCCCAGGAGGACCCCGAGGGCTGTGCTCCCCCAGCAGACCCCACCTGGCCACCAAAGCTTTGTGCAAAGCACAAAACCCTACAGGCAGAGTGCACAGGGGTTACCTCAAACCCTCAAAACTGACAAACCCGGTACTGCAATGCCTAATGCCAACGGGCTGCTGGAATAGCTTGTGCTGCAAATATGGCACAGCCGGATCCCTTCTGCGAGACGTGCCTGTGTCGCACATCGCCGGTGACGCCAGCAACTTATTTCCCCGCTGACTGCTGAGACGGCTGCTCAGCTCCCTCTCAGCCGTGACGTGGGAACCTGCCCTTAATTTCCAGTGGCACCAATATGCTTGCTTCCCCCCCCCCCTCCCTGCCAGCCCCAGTTTGCTCGGTGGGGGATGTGGCCGGCAGCGCTGCAGCCCCCCGAGGGGTGCTGGGGGCCCCTGAGCCCAAAGCTGGCACACGGCAGCCCCCCGGGGAACCAAACCCAGCAGCTGATGGTGAACCCAGGCCAGTGCATGACATGTCACATCAGTAAAGCACACAGATGCTTGCCTCGAGAGAGGAGCTCCAAGCAAAAGAAAAAATAAATAAATCGCTATTTATTTTTTCCCTATTGCAAAAAAAAAATAAAATGCTTTGGGGAGAGATGCCAACAGGGCGCACAGGCAGGAGGGTGAGCGTGCACTCATCCCTAACCCCGAACGTGCTCCTGCGCAGTGCCCAGGGGTTGTTGCAGTGGGGAGGACAACTGCAGGCAGCTCTTCCTCGCTGGCTAAGGGTGCACGCACCCAAGGCTGGGCACGGGGGACGCGCAGCAGCAGAGGCAGCGCTCCGCTGCTCGGGGCAGGGCTGGGTGCGCGCTGGCCTGACTCAGTGCTGCAGCTGCCAGGGCTGTGCGCTCTGTGGTCTGGCAGCAGCGGGGCTTTGTGCACTTATTTGTAAATACATTAAGCCCTGGGTTTGCAGAGAAAAGCGAGAGCCAAGTGCCTGCACGGGAGCGTAACCTTTGGGAGCGGACTTTTCTCTGCTCTTTACCAGCTCGGTAGAATTGTTCTGCTCCGCCGAGCTGGAAATTGGCTGCAGATATCATCACCCAGGCATCAGGTTGGAAGAATAGACTCTCCTTTCAGTCATTAGCTGTGGGCAACAATGCGAGAGGACGGGGAGGAGGTAAATGACTGGGACTGGCGTGGCTCAGTTCTCCGCCGTGCAATCCCAAAGGGACTGGAACCAGGCAGAGAGGTCTGCAGCGGGGCCGGAGGGATGACAACAATCCTGCACAGTGCTGAGCAGCAGCTGGGACAGCTTGAGCCCTCTTATCCTTTGTCCTGCTCCTTCCCTGACTAATTTCCTTCCTTCCCTTCTCTCCTTTGTGCTGCCCTCCTGCACCCCATCCCTGCCCCGCAGCCAGCCCCAGGGCGAGAGGAGCGGCTTTTTCCTCCCCTGGCCGACCAGAGCGGTGATGGGGAGTGTGAAATCCTGGAACAAACCAAAAAAGAGACAGGGCTGAGATTACTTCCCCTGGCAGCTGACGAGGTCACAGTCCAGTTTTTGCAGAAGTCGGATGCTTTTGTCACTCCTCACAAGCAGCAGTGGGCGAGGGAGCCAGCTGCTAGCGGCGGAGCTCTGCCCCAAAGGGAAGCGGCAGCGCCGGGGCTGGAGCAGGGCATGGCACCGGCAGCGTGATGTGTCCCCGATGACTAACTCCCTCCTAACACACCCTCGGCTTCGGAGGCCGTGGCAGGAACCACTATCAGAAAGCAGAAGCTGGTTCCTTCCCTCTCGCTTCCCACTAAGATTTTCCAGTGACCCATCGTTCTGCAGCGCTAGCGGAAAGCTGCCCGGCCCCTGGCCCTTTCCTTGCCTTGGGTGGTTGCTTGGGTTTTGTTTCAGCTGCGTCCCAGCATCATTTTCCCCAGCTGAACACCCCGGCAGGACAAGAACCGCCTCTGGCATTGCTCTATTGCCTGAGACCTGCTGGGTTTTGCTCCGAGCACGCAGCAGCACGGGTGACCTGCAAGGACAAGCACACATTTATCACACCCGGCGTGGGCACGGGTCACCGGGGCGCGTACAGCTCCTGGCGAAGGGGAGCTGCTGCTGCACACAGTGCGATACCAGCCACAGCCTCTGCCACACCTGGGGCTGCTCCAGCATTTCTGGGCTCAGCTCTGCAGGGACGGGCTCCAGAGAGGCTGCAAAGAGCCGGCAGGGAGCAGGGGAAAGACCCAGCGAGCTCCTGCTCCCCTGGGATTTATTTGGAGTGGCAGCACCAGAAAAAGCTCTCACCCGAGGGGACAGACGGTCTGCAGCACCCATCTGAGGGCCAAAGCATCCAAACAGCTGCTGGGGGGCCCAGGTACCCCCCAGTGCTCCCCCTCTCAGCTACACACAGCAGTGAGCTGAATGCAGCACCGAGGGCACCGTACCTTGGGCCATACCCTGCCCAGGGGGCAGAAGGCACCGGTTCAAGAACGGGCAGAAAATCCAGGTGCTCAAGCACATTTTGGGATTCCCAGCTATGCTGCATCCCCTTGTCCTTGCTCTCTGGTAGGAAAATGACTCCAAGCCAGGCTGGGTCCAGGCAGCTCCAACGCTGCTGCCATGAGCCACGGCAGCACCTGCAGCTCCTCCTCGGCCTTAATCAACTCCTCAATTATCAATTTAAAAGCCCCGCAGACCGTAATCCCCTGCATGTACTCCACTAGAGGCAGCCAACAGCCAAAGGGCTCTCCTCGCGCTCGTTCCCTAAATCTGCTCCTAATTAGGAGTGGCCTTACCCCTGCGATTAATTGCCGGAGTCATTCATTAGTGACTGGATATCGCAGCTGATGTGCTTGGAGCAGGAGGCAGCAGAGGGGCTCATCAACGCCTAATGAGCGGGGCGAGTGGCAAAACAGTGGCTAAAGGCTCTGTACCTGGCCGGGGGACAGCAGAGGCTGGCGGTTTCCAGCAGAAAGCTCCTGGCTTTGGGACAAGGGGGGGGGTTGGGTTCTTGCACGGAGCTGGGAGATGCTGCAGAGGCGATGCTCGCGGTGCTGCCAGCCCCGGGGCTGTCGCTGCAGACCAAGGAGCTCTGGAACCGGTCCCGTACCCAGCACAGGGTGACCATCCCCGCTTATCCCCAGTACTGGGGTGCAGAAAACCCCCTTTATCCCCGGATTTCCACCCTACACAGTGTTTTCCCCTTGGCACACCACAGACCTTGGAGATCACGCAGCTCAGCTTGTGTCCAGCATGGGACACCCCCTCCGTGCCTCGTGGCAGGGGACAGCAGGGTGACAGAGGCACACGAGGAGGTGACGGGTCCTTTCCTAACCCACCCCAAGCAGGTTACGCTCTGCCGTGCCTCAGTTTCCCCAGCCCCCTCCACCCACACCGCAGGGTGCGCACGGAGCCCACTGCCCGGAGGCCCTGCCAGGCGCTATTCTTAGCTTGGAGGGAAGTGAAAGCATTTCTGTGCCTCGGCATTTCGTTTTCCCTCCTAACACCAGCTTCATGGAAGCCCGTTAACCCCCTGGTGTAACACCCCAGCCGGGGAACCACCAGCCTGCAGGTGGAAAAGCCACGGGGCCAAACACCCCCCTGCGCCCTCACCATTTGCCCTAAATATTGGTGGCCCCACTCACCCAGGGCTGGTGGCAGCTCAGGGCAAGAATGTGTTTAAATCTTTTCCCCCAGCAGCTTTGTCTTTTTTTTTTTTTCCAGCAGTTTTACCACGCTGGGGGTGTTTTGGTGATGGGCGAGCTCCGCTGGGGACGGAGCTCTCCCTGCCTTTTGCTGCCGGAGCAGCTCCACGGTTTCAGTCGGAGATGCTTGGGGGGAAAAAAAAAAATAAAAAATGCATTTAGTGACAGAGGAGTTAAGCTGCATTCTGGGCTAATGGCTGGTGAAATTGCATTAGAAAAAAAAAAAAAAAAAAGGAACAAAACAAACCCTTGAAGGTTGAAGACTGTAAACAGCAGGGGAAAGTAGGACGCGAGGCTGGAGGAGAAGCTGTTTGCTGCAGGTTGCAGGCGAGCCGCGGGTGACTCACGCAGGTGACAGCCGATTGCTCCCAGGGCTCCCGGCTCTGCTTTGGATCAAGGCTGAGCTGGGCTCTGGGACCACGCTGGGTGGCTCCTGGCCCTGCTCTTCGGAGGGATGGATTTTATCTAAGGCTTCGAGCAGCTTCGAGCCTCGTAAAACCACCTTTATCTCCCCCCAGCAGCTCTCCAATTTCCAAATGCTTCCTGGGCAGGGGGGGCTGAGGTGATGGCCTGGAGGCAAATGGGCTCAGTGGTCCTTCACTGCATCCCTCCAGCTGTCCCTTGGCCCGAAGGAGGGCTGCTTTCTGCTCCTGCCTCACAGCTGGCGAGGCAGCGGGGTCCGGACACCCCTCCAGCCCCCTGCTGCGCCCCCAGGGATGGGGAGCTGGAGGGAGGGAGGTGGGTCAGCAAATGCTGCGAGCAACGCCATGAATAAATCATTCGGGCAGCTGGGCATCAGGCAGGCAGATGTGGGCAGGGCGAGGGGTGTGGAGGGACAGAGATGAGCACAGACAGACAGACACCAGGAGGGTGGCACTGCAGGATGCGGCTCTCCGAGGTGCCCACACACGGGAGGCTGCTGCAGATGGAGGGGAGGAGGATGGCAGCATGAAGGGGGCACGGGTACCTGTGCTGCCTCCGGAGGAGAAAAGCCACCTGATGAATAGCACTGAGGATTAATTACAAGGAACAGACGCTCTTGTGCCAGGCTCCCTGCGGCCAGGGGAGCGCGGGCTGCTGCAGCCCTGCCCTGGCCTCGTGCCCCCGCCAGCCCCGAGGCCACGGTGACATTAACCCGCTCCTCCGCCAGCGTCAGCCGGCCACGTCAGCCGCCTCCTAATCAGCCCCAGCATTTCCGAGCATCCCAGGGGCTGCTGGAGCAGATCCTTGCAGCCAGAGGCGAGCAGGAGCGCAGCCAGCGCTCGAACGAAGGCAGCACCAGGGGCTCGCGGCAGCTCCGTGTCTGGGTGCTATCCCCCTGTGCGCCCCCAAATCTGTCCCTGTCCCCCACCACCCCGTGCAGAGGATGGCTTCTAGCAACTGCTGCCTTCCCAGCACGTCCGAGCTCTGCTGCTCCCCCCGGGGAGCTGGGACGCTGCCACGAGCTGCGGCGGGCTGTTGGAGGAGCCAAGCTGGTGCACGGCCCAAAGCCTCCGCTCGCAGAGCCCTGGGATTAGGGGGGATTTCTCTTGCCTTCTCCTCGCCTCCTTTCGCAGCCTGCGTTTCCCCGGGGGCAGCAGGTCCCCGGCTGGGGCAGGCACCTGCCCTGCCAGACCCCGAGGGCAGCGCTCCCGTCCCTCGATGCCCGCGGCACAGCGGCCACCCCCCGGCTCATTTTCCATGGCACGGGGCCACCCCGGGCCAGCCCCGCGTGCCTCTCGGGGGAACTTGGCAGCAGGTGCCCGCTCCTCGCCGCCTAATCCCGCTCCCTGCCACCGGCCAAGGGCTGACGGGAATGAAACCCCCCCGCTGCCCGCTCGCCACATGCCTTTCCATAAGGGGAGCGAACCTGCCGGCGCCACGCGCTGCCCGCCGAGGTGCCGCTCGCTCCCGGCTCGCTTCCAGCCCTCGTTGCACCAGGGGCCAGGCAGGGGATGGATGGCGGGGGCCCCTGGTGAGCCTGAACCCCCAAATCCCCTGGGCACCCCCAGCAGGGTGCTGGTGACACAGCCCCGTCCTCCCCGGGGGTGCAGCACCTGCGCTCTCCATCCCAAATTCGTCAGTAGAGGCTGAGCCGTTGGTCACGGCGCCGGGCAAGCAGGAGTGCAGGGAGGCCATTAAATAAATTAGTTAATGAGGGTGTTAATTAGAGATGAGGAGGCTCTGGGAGGGTGGCAGGGAGGAGCTGGCTGACCCCCAACGAGCCAACCCTGCTGCAGTGGGGACACAGCGGGGACAACCCAGGGTGGCTGAGCCCCCCGCCTGCCGCAGCGGGTCCTGGCTGCCTCTTCACCCGTCGGCAGGGCTGCCCCCATGAAGGCAGCAGCGTTCAGAGCATCACTTCCCATAGCCGTCTGTTTTCCCCTCCTGCCATGGAGACAGCCTCCTTATATAAACCCTGTTAAGTAGGACGGCCTTTTATATCTCTTTCTCCCATCTCCGCCGGTGGCTGTGGAGGCTCCAGGCCTCCGAGCCATCCAGGCTGCTTGGCAGTAGAGGAGAAAAGCCATCGGGGTGTGTGCGGCCGGGCTGTCCTCGTGCCCGGCCCCACAGCTCCTCGCCGTGGCTGTGCAGCACTGGAGGGGATCGTGCCCAAAGCCTCCACCAGCCACCGACGCTGCTTGGGTGCATCCAACCCCGCGCTGTGCCCCAGGGGTGGCTTGGAGCTGGGAGCTGGGAGCGAGGGATGGGGAATTAATACCCCCAATTCCCATCCCTTACAGCTGTCCCTGGCTGGAGCATCTCCTCCCTGTTGCCTCTCCTCCAGCCCTCTCAGCCGTCTAAAATGATGGCTTCAACAAGGGTAAATTTTTGATGCACAAGCTATTAAATATTTGTGGCCGTTGCATGCGCCTTCAATTATTCAGTGCGAAAACGCAGGCGAGGTGTAGGCAGCGGCCGTGGCAGCGAAGGACACGGCAGCCCCGTGGGACCCTGCTGGGCTGGGCATGGCCAAGGAGCCTGGGCAGAGGCAGCTCCAAGCCTCCAGCAGGGAGAAACCTCCGGGGATAAAGCCCCCGTGCCAGCGAAACCATTTCGCGGGGAGCATTTGTGCTATTTTGGGCTGTGCTCGGCGATCAACTTGAGTGCAGCCAGGAGGATTGTGGCTGGAGCAGCCGGTGGGGAAGGAGCAGGGATCCCGGGAGCAGCAGAGCGCTGGATTTCCAGCTCCGAGGCGTGCGAGTACAGCGGGGGTCTGCTTGTGACACCGCAGGGCTCCTGAAATGGCAGGCACACGCTTGAAAATGGCAACGGGAAACGAAGCGATATTTCACAGGAACCCCTCCTGTGATAATTTTTGTTCTGGGACAAGCCAGGAGTAACACCTGCAGGGCTGGGACGCCGACCCCTCGCTGCCGAGGCCGCACGGTTTTTGTGCCATTGCCCCCGCTGGGGGAGCACCGGGGAGGTCCCCCCGAGGCGCGAGCCGGCACAGCCTCAGGACGCCGGCAGCTCTGCTGGTTTCCCAGCCCCTCAGCACCATTTGAATCAAAATCCCATTTTCATGTCATCGTTCCCCACAAAAGAGGGATGCGGAGCTCTGAGCGGCTCAGGCCCGGGACCAGCCCGGTGCCGCATTGTGTGCAGAGGCAAGGGCATCCTCACCCTGAGCCCTGGGCCAGCTCCAGCTTGGGTTGTTCCTTATTTCCTCCTGCCTCGCGCTCCGTTCCCGCTGTGCGCAGTAATGCCAGGGGAGGATATTTCACAGCTCCCGCATCTCACCCCTCCTCTGCCTGCTGGCAGCTTTTGGCAGGAGGCTGTCAGCATCCATGGCGAGCATCCCTGATCCCCCCCATCCCTTGTAGCTGTCACTCCCGGCACTGATCCTATTTCAGATTTGCCCCCTTGTGCCGGGGCTGCATCGTGTGCAGGGTGCTGAGCTCCAGCACCACCCGAACCCGCACCCCACGGACCCGGCACGTTCGCTTTCGCCGGGCTCCTGGCGCTCGCTGCTCTGCAATCACAGCCCTGGAACATACCTGGGGGAAGCAGCCAAGAGGCATAAAATCCCTGCTGAGCCTCTGCCAGCCAGAGGAGTGGCAATTAAAACAAAGTGATTAATCACAAACAGTGAGTGGCTATAAAACTTTCCAGTAATAGGAGCGAGGCTGGGACAAGCAGCTGGGGAGCTGAAGAAGCTCCGGTTGCAGCGGGACGGCGGCGGTGCGCGGACAGCAGGAGGGTGAATGCCGGGCCTGCCGAGGGGAGGGAAGGTCCCTGGGGGCTCACAAAGTGCTCGGCTCCCTCCTGGCTTCAGAGAGACACGACATTTGGCTGGAGGTGTCATCTTGGCCAGCAGAATGAGATGTTTGCTGGGCCGGATGATTTTTGCCACGGTGCCCACAGCGGTGCCGTCCGCTGGTGCCTGGGGTTGTGTGGGTTTGGCTAGGGCAAGGGGGAAAGGGCAAGGTCTGAATTGCACCAGCAGCAGGTGCTCGGGCAGGGCGTCTTCAGGCTCTCCTTTCCCCAAACATCACATCGGCAGCATCCAACCCCAGCTTCATGCCCGCTCGTGGAGCTCAGGGCACCCAGCGATCAGCCCCGGTGCCGCACGGGGTCATCCCCACCCGCGATGGGGAAAACCAGGGATAAACCCATAAATACGTCGGGGGGAGGTGGCAAATAAACAAGCAGCGATCACAAAGGGCTCGCCCACTGCCTGGCGGTGGCGATGGAGAAGAAGCGAGGAGCTCTCCCCCTCCTCCAGCAGGATTCGGCTCGCGTTGGGCGCGTGGGAGGACTGGCAGCAGCGCGGAGATGAAAGCGCCCGCGGGGCTGCTCGCTCCCGCAGTCAGGTACCCACCCAACGGCGCTGCAAAACTTTCTTCCCTTTGAAGCAAGGAAACCTGAGGATTAGCCGGGCTCTTTCATTGCCATGACAACCCTAAAACATTTATCAGCCGTAATTGCCGAGTGGCCGGATCCTGGCTTACTCTGGGCGCAAGGCTGCAGCAGGTTGCCTTCTGCCCGGCTGCTCCCCTTCTTTTTTACACCTGCATCTTCCGAGCTCTGCCCCCAAATGCAGCTTGGCTGGAAATTGGGGACACCACCTGGGCACTGTCCTGTCCCTGGCATGCTCGGGGGACACGAGCTTTGGCTGCTTTAACACAAGGAGCATTTGCTCTCCCCCAGAGCTTACCCGCAGTGATGGAGCTGCATTGCCATGGTGGGAAGGAGAATCCATTCCCCCACTCATCACCTTACTGCTCATAATCTAAAATATTGCCTTAAAAGGGTGGTGCCGACCTTGGCACGGAGTTGTGTTCGCCCTCAGCACTGGTTGGGGTAAATGGGGGTTTTGGCTTCATCTCAAGTCATTAACTCCTCCCCGGCAGTCATTAATCCCCAGGAAATGCCCTGTGACTTGGATCATTGCTGCTTAATTAATACAAGCTCCCGTCACCGAGCTGAGGGCCAAAGCCTGAAGTCATTGTGTGCGTTGCTTCCCCTTGGATCCGGGAGCTGCTCCTGGAGCCCACGGTGGCCACAGGGCCAGGGGGAGCTGAGCCAGCCCTGCAGGACATGGGCGCTGTGGGACGTGGGTGCTACGGGATATGGGTGCTGGGGACGTGGGTGCTGTGGGGCCGCCAGACTCATGCACCACAGCCGAGGCTGGTGTTTTGCCATGGGTTCGTGCAGCGCCGAGCACTGCGCCATCCATACCCAAGACAACCTGTCCGAGGCTCAAGCACCATCCTGAGAAGCGCAATGCGTTGTCCTGATAATTCACAATTTATCAGAAACCCAAGGCCACGGCGTGCCGGTGGGAGAGGTGCTGGAGGTCAGGCTTAGTAACCGAAGCCCTTAATCACACGCAGATCCTCGTGCTCCCTCCATCCCCGGCAAGAGACACAGAGCAAACGCTCGTCTCAGAGCCCTCTCGCGCAATTAGCTTTATCCTTCTTAGCTTGTCAGAAATTGGAAATGCAGCACCTCCTCTTCCCCAGTCTCTCCCCTGCCCTGGTCTTCCATGATCTCTCTTAAAAGAGAAATAAAACCCCATTCATCACCATAATGATTTTTATTTCCAAGCATTGCTGGTGATTTATGGACCTGCTTCCCGAAGCCGCTCTCTCCATCAGCAGCAGGAGATGAATGTATTTGGGGGCGGGTTGGGGGTGCCAGGGGGGATGAGGGGACCAGGAAAACCGCGGGCAGCCACGTGTCGGTGAGTCTCAAAATAAAACGGGTGCCCTGAGAAAGTGCCACCCGTGCTTTGAGCCCCTGGTGCTCTGCAGATGCAGGAGCTGGGGGGCATCGCCCGTCCCCGCTGGCATTTAGGGCCGTGGCGACAGACGAGCCTGTAACAAGCCGAGCGACACGAGGCCATAAATCCCCCGCACGAATCCGCCCAGAGCGCAGGGAGAAAGGTCACCGTGCCTGGCATTTCCCACCGAGGTAATTACGGGTGGGCAGGAGCGACGCGGGGCTGAAATATCAGCGGGATTTACATCGGGGGCAGCGCTGCTGCTGGTCGCTGGCTGCCCTGCGCAGGGGAAGGCGGCCTCGGAGGGAGCTGCGTGGGGAAACGAGCCACGAAAAAAAAAATAAAATCTGGTCCTGTGGTCCCTGGAAGGGGGCAACAGTGGGGGCTCAGCTCAGGGTCGCATCCCCCAGCTCTGCTTTTGCTGGCGGTAGATTCTGGGAGCCAGGCGTGCCATGCCTCCAAGGGGCTGGAGGATGAGTGTGCTCCATGCTCCTCTAAAACCTGGGCTGTGAATAATCCAGAGGATTCACCCTTTTGGGGAACAAGCAGGAAGAAACCCCTGCAGCCCCCCAGGCCACTGGAAGCCATCTGAAAGCCCCCGTGTCAATGCCCCCAAACCCGAACCCTTCCCAGAAGCACTGCTTGGTCTGGAAATGTAGGCTGCCAATATATTTATTTTTGCCTGTGTTTATTTGCCTGCATCTTTTTTTTTTTTTTTTTCCTCCTGTTTGTCTGAAGTTATGGCTTAATTTCAGGAGTTAAAGAAAACTGGGTTTATAAATAGTGTGCTCAGAGCACTGCTTTCCAGAAACGACAGCGAGTCAGCTCCCAGCAAGCGCCGCTGCCCCAGGGGAGGGTCACGGCGAGGGGAGGGGGGGTTGCTTTTCCCACATCATCTCCTCAAACAGCTCCTTACCCTCCCGAAAGAGCTGGGGCGAGCATTTTGGGTGGCTTCTCCCCGGCGCTGGAGTCACAGCCAGCAAAATTTGCTGCTCAGAGCATGACAGTGGGGCTGCAGGGGCTGGGGACAGCCCGACCCCAAGCAGCTCCAGCCGCATCTCCCCACCTTGAGCAGGGGAGACATCCCTGAGCTTGCACGCGAGGCTGATGCTGGGAAAATGAGGTGAAAGGAAGAAATTCCTGGGGGAATTGTCACCATCGGGTTGTCACCACGGGCAGGGTCACCCTGCCCCTGGCACCCATGGGGACAGTCCAGGGGAGGACCAGCTGCTCTTGCCCTGCTTTATTTTTCCTTCCCTTCATGGGCCAGAAAGCGAAACCAGGTGCATCATTCTTAAATAACCAGGGCGGGGCAGGGGACAAGTGTGGAAAAGTCCCATCACTGGGATCACTTTTTAAGGACACGAATCATCGGGGCCGCGCGGAGCTGATGAGAACCACATCGCGTTTTGTCGGAGAGGAATTTCTGTCAGCGTGACTAATGGGAGCAATAACGAGAGTGTTTGGGATGAATCACTTAGCCGAGGCAGGACCAAGGGCATTGTCAAAGGGAGGAACCTATAGCCGAGATTTTGGGGAAAACTGGCTGATTGGAAAAGCTGATGGACGCCACAGGAAGGTGGATGGGGACAGCCTGGTCCTGTGCCAGCCTCCCCGCCCCTACCCGGTGCCGTTAGCAGGACATCAGCACCAAGCCACTGCCTGGAGGGGCCTGGAGCAAGAATTCCTGGAATCTAGGATCTGTCCTCAAAACCTGAGGCTCAGAAAGCCAAGGGCTATTTACAGCTGCCCTGGAGCAAGTCCTTCATTGCTTCGGTGGGGTGAGGAGGGGAAGCGCCGTGGGACAGGGGCTGTCGCTCCCGCTGCGCATCCAGACCTCTCCAAAACGCAGCCCTGCACATCCCTGCCTCCCTCTGCAAAGCATCCAGCCCGAGCTCTATTTTTGGCTCTAGGCTGATTTCCTGGCGGCACAACCCGAGGGAAGCACCTGGTGCCCATCTCATTGCCAACATTTCACCAAAGCCTCGGCTCCTGGCACCCTGCGTCTTCCCGGGCACCGTCACCTCTCAGCCCACATTTCTGGCTCCCTGACCCCAAAGCCACCAAGCCAGGGAAGCCTCACGCACCGACCGGGCACTGAGAACCCCAAACCACCCACATTTCGAGGTGCTGAGCACCCAAGAGGTGTGCAGCTGGCCGTGCCCCTTGCACAACAACTGACGGGGCGATATTTGCACAAAGCAGTTTTTTCTGTCCCGGGTCCCTCTGGGGCCAGCAACGCCCGCATCTGCTCCTGCTTAAAACGCACTTTGCAAGCTCGCTGCCTTGTTCCAAAAAGGAGGGAGATGGGGGAAAGGAAGCGCCCGCTTTTGCTGGCTTTTGTTGCCTTTTTTTTTTTTTTTCCTTTTAAAAGGAGGGTTCGTTACTTCTCCCTCTCTCTTTCTGTTCCTGCTCAGCATGGAAAGTTTTGCTTCAGCTCGCCCTTGTGACTGGAAAAAGAGCCAGTTCATCACAGCAGAACAAGGGGGCTGTTTCTTCTTCTTTTTTTTTTTTTTTATTTTTTTTTAAGCTCTGAGGGAAGCGTTTTCGCAGGGAGGCTGTGGGGGAAAGGCAGGAGCGAGGGCTCTGGAGAAGCCCTGGGCACCAGACAGGGGCAGAGGACAGAGAATCGGTGGAGTTCCAGCTCAGCAGCCTCAGGGAGGGCTACAAAGGACAGAAGCAGCTTGCTGAGGCTGGGAGCAGATGCTCCATCCCCTGATCTGGGGTCTTAACCCCAACCCCTTGTTTCTTCCCCCGGATTTCCCAGCTCTTCCTGCCCCACCAGCTCCCTCCTTGGTGCCTATCCTGGGGCTGCCGCAACCCGAGCAAAACCCAGGGCGAGGCAGGATTTGCATCAGGAGCGAATTACGGGGCTTTCGGCATCAAAACTCTGTGCTGACAGAGGGGCGTGGAAGGGGGAGGCAGAGCCAGTGCGGCCACCGCCACCTCCCCTAAACCTGAGAGTCCCTACAGGCCCCTTTCCAGGCCAGGCAGGGATTTCTGTCCCCAATCCATGCCCGCAGCACTTCTCAGGACATCCGTGGCAGGGTCTGCAGCCAGCTCCCTGCTGCAGGCACAGATGCTCCATCCCCAGGTTCCTGCGTTTGCGGGGTCGGAGACGGCCGCGCCGGCAGGAGCTGGCACCGGCTGCTGCACGGGGACCCCGGGGGACGGTGACACATCTGCGTCACGGATGACAACACAGAGCGGCCTCGGCATCACTGCTCGGAGCCTCCCTGCCGCCGGAAAATACCCCGGTGGCTACCAGAGGCTGCTCTTCCCACGTCAGGCTGCCCGCCCTGCCTCTCGCTTTGTGCCGGAGGGAGGAAAGGGGGCACGGGGAGCACAACAGGACGCTCGTCAAACCCTATGCTCTGTCCTTTATACACCCTGCTCCTTCTTCCAGCTCCTTCCCCAGGGCTGAGCATCTTTGCCCAGCTCCAGCGGGGTTTTTCCTCCTCTTCCAGCCTCTCCTTACCAACTGTTCCCCAGCCTTCCCCAGGATCCAGCCCTACAGGATCCAGCCTTGCTCTGTGTGCACGGAGGCAGAGATTAGGGCAGCCCCTTTCCAGCAGGGAGGAGACAAGCCAGCCTGCTGCAATTATCAGATCCGACAGCAACCACCAAAAAGCAGCAGCAGGACGTGGCGCAGCCAGCCAGGGCTCAGCGAAGCAGCTCGTTGCTCCTGGCACAGGCTGCGCTCGTGCCCACCCCTCTTCCTTCCCCCTCCAGCCCCATCAAGGAATTCATCAAAGGGATTTCCCTGCACGGGGCAGGGCGAGGAGCTGCTCCTGTGCTGAGCATCGCTGGCACCGCTCCCCGTGAAGCATTCGTTAGCACTCGAGCTGGAGCAGCGCGAGGAAGGGGGTGGCACGGGGAGCTGAAATAGCTCCTGGCTCTTCCTCGCATCCCTGCCCCAGCTGGGAGCTGGCTATCCCGCCACCAGCCCGCCCCGTGCTCCCTAGCGGATGCGTTTGTGGCCTTGCTGTAATTTCAGGTTGCTGTTTCCAAAGGAGGCATCACCCTCGGAGCCGCTGAAGATCTTTCGGAGGCTGGGACACCACCCGAGGTCAGCTCCAGAGGGCCCAGCCCTAACCACGGGCTGCTGCGTCCCACAGAGCTCAGCAGGGAGGTGGCTCCCACTTCCCCGTGCCCTGGGCTTTGCTGCAGATCCTTCCTCCAGCTGGGACCCAGCCCAAATATCCTGGATGTGGCCACCGGCTCTGGCTCCTGTGCCCGGTCCCAGCCCTGTATTGGGGTGAAGCTCCCGGCTGCAGGGCTCCCGGCTCGGGTTCCCTTTGGTCTTGGAGGAAGGAGAGCTGGGAGGGTGCCTGGAGCCCGGAGAAGTTTGCAAACAACCCAGCCGCATTCCCCAAATCCTTTCCAGCTCTTGAGGCACTGAAACGTTTGATTGAAGAGCTGCACGAGATCTGCAAGGAGATAAAGTAAAGGCAGGTCAGATTTTGGCCGCTCACCAGCGCAGCCACCGCTTCGCTAGGTGGAACTGAGCCATCGGAGCTGAGCCCTGCTAGAGGGGGGTGCCCCATCCTGGAAGACCCCAAAATGACCCCCTTTTGTGCCTGGAAAGCCTTGGGGAGAAGAGGGACTGCTGCGGGCAAGGGATGTGCTCCGGGGCAGCGCGAGGTGCCAGGGGGTCCCTGCAGCCCAGCTCCCTGCAAGGGATTGAGATGTAAAACCCGCAGGTGCCAGCCCCGAGCCGTGGCCCCCGGTGACTTCCAGGAACAAACTCGGCTGCTCTGTCACTTTGTCACCGCTTGCCCTGCAGGAGCAGCCCCGGATCTCTCTCCTCCTGCGCTCAGGCTGCCCCAGGGCAACGCCACTCACAGAGCCTGCTGCGTAACCCAGAGGTGAAAAATCACCTCTCAGCTCACCCCACCCAGGGGAAGAAACCAGGCTGGGAAACTCCGGCGTGCCCGTGACTCACCCGCTTTTACCTCTGGCTGTTCCAGAAGCCTGGCAGGGAGCTGCCGTGCCGGGGAACCTTGCTGCGCCTCGCCAGGAGGGTGCTGCAGGCAGGAGGGGTCTGTCCTTGGCACCAACAGTGGGGTAAAAATAATCATTTATTTTTTTTTTTAATTTTAATAATAAAAAATGACAGCCTTGGCTGTCACCACCGAGCTCCCCACACCTGGAAGCAAACTCCACCTTGCCTAACATTTAAACACCCTGATGGACATTTATTTATCGGATGATTTCGAAGTGACAAATTCCTTCAATAGCTGCTAGTGGCCTGAACTAGAGCTTATGGCTTATGAATAGGACAAAACTGTCCCTGTGCCTCACTCACAGAACCAAATCCTATTTCTCTGGGTGTTTCTCTGCCTCTGTGGAACACCTGCACGCTCCTGCTCAGGTGCGGTGCCGGGGCCAAGCACCTTTGCTTGGGAAAGCCAACATCTGGAACGGAGCCATTAAGCTTGATTAATAATTCAGGGGTGGAGCGGAGCGCCTCATCTATGGAGATGCCAGTTTTATAAACAGAAAACATCTTGTTTGCATATTTTATTCCACTGTGCATACTGATGAGGCCTCGCAACTTCCCCAGCAAGCAGGGAGCGTTGCTCTGGGCTCCAGCACGGCTCCCAGGCAGGATCCTCGCTGCCTTCTGTGCTCCCCGCCTGCCCCGTGCCCTGCACGGCGGAGGTGGCTCCGAGCTCAGAGATCACCCTTGCCTTACTGAAGGGAATTATTGCTGGTTTGGTGCGATCCCAAAGCCTTCCAGGGGGCTGGTTGCAGAACATCTGTGCCCACAGCAGGGAAATGCCCTCAGCCAGCCAGAGCGTCCGCAGCCACCCTCGCCCATACCGAGGTCAGAAAAATGCTGTGAAGTAGGGTAAAAGGCAAGAAAAACAGCATGAAAATGAACGATTCTGCCCCACATTGGGTCCCCTGCCAGCCCTTAATGTTTGGTGCCTGGAGATGAAGCAATTTCATAGCAGGGAAGGAAGCTCTGGTGTGAGCCATCCGGCAGCACCAGGAGGGGAGAGGGAGCGGGGTCTGAGCACCCAGAGCCCAGCCTGGAAGGAGTTAAGCACAGCCTGCCACCCAGACCCTCCCTGACCCCTCCGGTGGCATCTCAGCCCCCTTACAAAAGGGGATTTTGCAACGCGTTTACTTACATTCCCAAATGAAAAGCAATTTGGAGCTGGGAAATTGATTATGCCTTGCTGCAAAAGCGGTCAAAGGCAGCCCTTTGATGAGCTGGAAAGCCTTCCTCCCCCCCCCCAAAACCCATGTTGAAATAGAAATCTGTCGAAACTGATGTTTTCCTATAAACACGCCGTATTTCAACAAACCCCACGTTTTTCAAGGAAAAAAATAATTTGTCTAAAAATTACCAGCGGGTTCTGCCCGGGGCTGGTCTCCTTCCCACGGCACGTGGTCGGGTACCGGCCCCGGAGCACGAATGTCCCCTGCACTTCCCAAATCCCCCACACCCAGTGCAATGCTGAGCGCATCCCCACAGCCACGCAGACGCCCTGGCAGATCTCAGCCAGCAGCTTTTTGGGTATAAAAAGGGCTTTTGGATGGCCAGGTGATGTTTGCAGCAGTGGCTGTGGGCAGAGAGGCGAGAGCATCGAGCAGCGCGCCCAGCCCCACGGCCACTGCAGCCCTCCTCGCTGCTGCTGCTCTACTTTGGGTTTATTTAAGGAAAAAGTTGTATAGTTTTCACTTGAAAAGCATTTAGCTTCATTTAATCCCCCCACTGCGGAGGGCTCACGCTGCTGGGGCTCTCTCATCTGTGACCGTGAAACCTGATCAAAACGCAGCGGAGAGCCGCAGCGTCTGAGCCGCAGATCAATGGGGCCAGAATTACATATTGATTTCTTTTTTTTTTTTTTTCCTCCGGGCAGCTACTGTAATGCAATTGGCATTCCCCTCCCTCCCAGCCCTCGGAACCCTTGCTCTCCATAAAATAAATTGGCAGGATGGGTTGGAGCAGGAATTCCCCCCGCTCGATAATCTCAGCCTTTGCGTTTCCTCTGAGCTTTCAGGGTGGGATAAGCCGTTCCCCTGGCTGCACCAAGCCCCCGTCCTCTCTGCCATGCTGGGACCCCAGTAATACACATCCCAAAATACCAATCATTCAGGTGGCAAAGCCAAATTTCCCAGCTGAGGCGTGACAGCAGCAGGAGCAGGAGCTCTGCAGAGCCCCAGGACACCTCGCAGCGAGAAAGCCGCGGCCCCGCGCCTGCCGCTGGCGGGGAGGATGCTGCTGCTCCAGCTGATCGAAGCAGATTCGTGTCATTACCATATTAGCAGCCCTGCACTCTCTCCCCCATTTGTTACCCTAATGGGGATTATTATACTTATTACGGTCTCGGCCATCAATGCTTATTGATTCTGACACCACAGCAGTTTTAATCAGGGACCTAAAACATGCTATTATCGGTGCCAAAGGGTCACGGGCGTGCAGAGAAAGCTGCAACGGCAAGGACAAAAATAAACGCCCGGCAGAAGGCGATGCTGGGTGGATGGGAAGCTCGCTGGCTGGCAGGAGGCCGGAGCAGGGCTGGCCGAGGAGCAAGCTGCGAGCTCGGAGCACCTGAGCACGGTGCTGGCACGGCGCGCGCAGGCGCACACCTCCGCCCCCGCGTCCCTCTCTCCCCCCAAACCCGGTGAGTCACCACGAGGTTCTTATGCAATTGTGGGGAAAGGCTCTAATTACGGCGGTAATGCCACGGGAGTGACACATGCCAGCACCGGGAGCTGCGGCGTTCGATCCGAAATTACCCACGTGCGTATTTCTCCGATTCCGGCACCTCCGGGAGCAGCCCTTCGTGGCATCCTCCCTTCCTCAAAGAGCTGCAGCCCCCTCCCCGCATCACACACACACCCGGTCCCCTTCGTGACCATGCCCTGATCTCTCGTTTCAATTTTGCTCCGGGAGCAAATGCAAAATAAACACGCGGGGAACACGAACAGCCAGCGATGGAGGAGGGCTGCAGCAGGATGTCTCCGGCCCTTCCCGCGCTCCCACTGCTGGTGCTCGTTAGCAGTACAGCACGCGCGGGGCAGGCTGCATCGATCCGCCGGCCGATCATTAATTCATGAGCACGCGCATCGATTTTTGCGCATGTCCTCATGCAAGTTTTAGCAGTCGTGCCACGTGAGCGCCCGCCCGGGCTCGGCCTCGCCGCACTCGGGGAAGGACAAACCCAGCCCCGCGGGGTTCCGCTGCTCAGGGGTGCTCCCAGCCTAATTAGCCTCTCTGCAAAGCCACCTAACGAGTTGTTGGAGGCCAGCAGGTGCCTCTGCTTCTCCTTCTCCATTCACTTACCCAGGAGATGCCCCGCTGCAGCCCTGTCTGTCCATCTGAGGTGTCCCTCTGTCCATCCGAGGCGTCCCTCTGTCCCCCGCCACCAGCACAGAGGACACACGTCTCTCCAGCAGACCCAGGGCAGCCAGAGGAGAGGTTTGCAGAGGCGCAGAAAAGTTTGTTTGAGCAGCCAAAAGAGCTTTTAAGATGCCAAGATGGGCCCCAACCCAATCCCCCCCATCCCTGCCCCATGAGCACCCGCTGCTCCTCTCCATCCATCCCACAGGGCTCTCCATCCCCATGCTCAGATGAGGTTTAGCGTGGAAGTAATTTCCCAAATCAGGTGAAAATGGGCCCAAAAAGGTGTGCAAGGCACTAGGGCCCTCCCACAGCTCACCAAGCCCCTTCTCTCCATGCCTCAGTTTCCCTCACCTACAGAGGGCTCATCCCCTCTTTGCCACAAGCACCCAGAGCTGGCAGTGCGAGGGACCAGAACCATCACCTGCACCTCTCAGAGCCCTTTTAGGGTCTGATTCCCCTTTCACTAACGAGGGCAAATCAGAACGACCTGTCGATGGAGTGGGAGGAAACTCCCCCAAGAGAAAAATCCCTGCCCCATCCTGGCACCAGCTGTGGGCAGAGCAGTGGCTTTCCCAACGCCCTCCACCTCCTGCCGCCGAGCTCCTGGCGGAGGGCACCGTCTGGCCTCTCCCAGGGAGCCACTTGAGATGCGGAGCCCATCCTGGCTCTCGCCGGGGTCATTTTTCTCTCTGCTTGGCTGCCCCAAGCAGACGCTTGTCACCGCTCCGCCGGCAGCCTGTCTGCGGCCAGCCCTGGGGAGGGGGCAGCCCGGAGCTGGCACCCACCCTGCTGGGATTGGGACGGAGCTGCCCCTTGTACCCATAACAGGGGGGACACAGCACCTTGGCACCCCCCTGGGGACACCTGGGTGACACGGGCAGAGCTGCACATGGGGAGGAACAGAGAGGGGGCAGGCGTGGAGGCAGCCGGCGAGGTGGAGGAGGGAGGGAAAGCAATCCATCTGCGATGTGCGCCGCTTCCTAATGCGCCCCGTAGCCTGCCTGCCTCTTCGGGGAAGCAGTAGGAGACACCGCTTACCAAAGCTATCCACGGCCCACTGCAGTAAAACCCTCGACTGCCTCGTGCCCGGCGTGGAGGCACAGCGATGCTGCCACCTGCACAGAGCCCAGGGAGAGGGGCACGAGGCCGGGCAGCCCCATACGGGACCCCAAATCCTGGCCGGAGCAGCCAGCGTCTCTACAAGCCCCGGGCACCTCTGCCATGTGTCACCCATCCTGGGGATGTGCACGGGGGGATAAATGTGGGTGTCCTGGCTCCTTGCTGGGGCTCTCCCCATGGGTCTTTGCCCCCCAGGAGGGGGCTACCCTGCAAGGACAGGGGTGTCCTCGGATGCAGCCCCCCAAATCTCCCCACCCTGCCTCTCCTTGCTTGGGTGCGATGGTGGCATGGCACGAAGTGAAGCCTGGTGGCCCCTACCCAGGTGATGTGGGGTAAAGGCAGCCCAGGGGATGCTCTGGGTTGGGCTGGGGCAGCAGCCGGCCCCAAAACCTTTCAGGAAAGAGCCTCCAGCCCCTGACTCCCCATGGGGTTGGCCCCGCTGTTCGGAGAGAGCCCAGCAGCGCTGCACAAAGGCTTTTTCTCTTAAGCAGAGAGGCGAGGGAAAGCAAAGCCTCTCCATCCAGCTGAAAGCACCAGGGGAGTGACAGGTAGGTAGAAGTAATTACTCAAATTGGAATTTGGGGTAATTACGCTCTGCCTTCCTGCAATTTGCCCGGTGGGGAAGCCTTTTCACAACCCCCCGATAAAACAGATTTATCATCGGCTGAGCACCAGGCCCTTCCCTGTAATCTCCCAACTCAAACACACATTTCTCTGATCATAAATTAGCGATACTTGCACTCGCTCGCTCAAAGCTTTTTCTCTCTTCCCCCTCTCCAGCTTTTCCACATCCTACAGAAACGGAAGAGCCGGGCTCTCCGGCTGCTTATTTTAAAAGACGATGCTCAGTCAGGATTGCCAGGCAGGGAGTGGGGGCTCTCCTCCTCCGTTTGGGGTCCGTGGGCTCCGGCACACCACTGCTGCCTTGCGCAGCGCTGCCCAGGGGTGCTTGGCCCCAAAGCCAATGCGTGGCTGCTTCTTTTCAGGTGCGCTTCGTGCTTGGAAGAGTTTGGGTCTGAAACATCTCCAGGCAGGAGCGGGGGAAGCCCTGAGATGGGGAATGAATGCTCGGTGGGAAAACCCTGTGCCTGTCCCAGCAGCCGTGGCAAAGCCTGGCTCGTGCTGATGGAAAAGTCACAGTTATCGCATTTATGGGTGCTTTTATCCATCCCATCGTTTCTCCGTGGTCAGAGGGTTTGGTGCGCTCGGCCGGCGGATGGGGGACGGTGCAGGGACAAAGAACAAACCTGGAAGTGGTGCTGGGGAAATCTTCCCCCTGCTGGCCGTGGGCACGGGACCCTGCTCCTCTGCTGGGATCAGCCACAGCACTACAGGGACCCCCCTTGGGCTCCATCCCCGTGGGCTCCCCACAGCCCCCACCGCACCCCAGGGCTCTCCGAGTGCTTTGCTCTGCAGGAATTGGGTTAAACCCCGCAGCCCCCCCCGGGGACACGTGCCTCCCCGAGGTGTCAGGGCTCCTGCTGACGAGACCTAGCGCAACGGCGCTAATAATAGCTGCGGCTTGGTGGCATCTCCCATCCCCGAGCTCGCTGTGATCAGTCCTGGAGCTGGGAGGAAGAAGAGGAAGAGGAGGAGGAGGAGGTTGGGAAAGTCCCAGGGTGCTCAGGCACCTCCAGCTGCGGGGAGGGGGCTGCTTTGCTGCAGGTTAATTTTATGTTAAACACTCAGGATTTGGAGCGAAGGAGGCGAAGAAAAAAGGTTTTCTTCTTTCTCTTCCTTTCGGTGCGTTTTTCCTCCTCCTTTTTTTCCAGTGGAGGAGTGGAAAATGGGGAAGAGGAAAAGCCCAAACAGTTTTTTTGTGTCTCCGTTCCCATTGTTGAGTTTCCCCGCGGAGGCCTGGGCAGCTGTCTGCACCCCGGTGATAATTCATGATCCGGGCTTTCATCTCCAGGGCCATTGCAGCCCCCATCTAATGAATCCCAGTGCTGGCCTCCTTCAGAAAACACAAAAACCAAACAAAACGGCGTCCCACGGATCTGGAAACGGAGGTGCTGAGAAGCAACACAGCTGCGACCATGTGGGCATTACCGCTTACCCCATCCGTTTTGGGGATGCACGACCTCGGTAACCCTAAGGCACGGAGCGGGATCTCTCCATATGGGATTTCTGTACAAATACAGGCAGGAAACGAGGCTCTGGCCAGTCCTTGGGAGCTGGGGATGGGGAATGGGACATGTCAGGATCCTGAGCCAATGCAGGGCGATGGAAGCACGGCGATGGCTTCGGCGGGGCCACGCGAGCGCTGTGGCCATCGGCTGCACGAGCAGCCACCCCGAAGGATCACACACACTCTGCAAATCGGTGCCTTGAGCCTGCTGCCAGTTAAGGGCTATAAATAAAGCTGTTATCAGCTGTGCCCTGCTCGCTGAGTGAGCCGAGCCACGGCGCTTCCTCCCCTGCAGCGTTTATGGGTGATTTCTAGCCCGGGGGAGCTCGTCAGCATCCCCAGTCCGGTGGCGTTTTTCCATCCTGCCATTGATTGTGCGTTTGGCCAATAAATCCCCCGGCTGCCAGCCCTGCTTGCGGGCTGGGGACAGGGCTGTGGCAGTGGGGACAGCAGGGCTGGCTGACAGGGACGTGGCCACTGCTGTCCCTGGGACTGCGTTATCTCTGTGACCTCTTCCCTGCTTGCCTGGGTGCCAGGAGGGCTAAAAGGTGGCTCCTGCTCCTCCTCCTCCTCCTCTGATTCCTGTCTCAGGTCTCTGACCCCAGACACCCCTGCTCTGCTCCCCTTAACCCCACAGCTCTGTCCCCAGGTGCTGGCCAAGGGACGCGTCCCAGTACGGCACGGGAGGGGAGCCCCTGGTCACACTGGTGGGGGGAAAGCAGAGAAGAAATCTGGGTGAGGAGGGTGGGAAAGGGCAGACAGGGGGAAGAAACCCAAGCAGAGAGGATGGGGCAGCTCCTGGGCAGCCACAGCAGCATCCCTGGGGGCCTCATGTCCCATCTCCCCCCAAATAACCCAGGGGAAGGAGCACGCCCATGTCCTGCCCCACAGGACACAGAGGGGGGCAGAGGAGGAGGAGGGGGAGGAGGAAGGCTGCTGCTCTCGGTGGCTTGGCAGCTTTCCCCCTTTGGTGCCCTGTAAGGACGGATGGGGCAAGGAATGGAGACATCCCAGAGGGGGGCAGGATGCGGAGCTGGCGCGAGGCGGGGAGCGCACGGAGCCCGTCGGCTGCTGGAGCCAAGCAATCAATCCCTGAGAATCCAGCCCAGCGAGGAAGGTGACCTTGAGAGGCTGAGAGAGGCGGCGAGAGGAGAGCCGCAGGGATCACACACCGAGGGACGAGGCAAGGGAGGGAGGGAGGAGGGATGGAGGGGAGCAGGGGGGGGACAGGAGGGACACCTGGGCTCCTCCTGCTCCATCCCCAGGCCAGCTGGGACGCAGCCCTGCACACCCTTAAGGCAAAACAGCTCCGAAGCATCCCCCCCATCTCATCCATCCCCCCCCCTGAGCAGGGCTGCTCCCCATCCCTCTTCACCCCCCCTTTCCAGCACCGCAGCCCCCACCATTTCCTGGCGGCTTTGAAGCCCCGCAGCTCCCGCTGCGCCCCAGCTCCTGAGATCAGAGCGACGAGGCTTTGCCTCTGCACAGCTCCAGCTGACAGCTCCTAACCCAGGTTCCTGCACTAATTTCTGTCTCTGGATGCTTTGCTCCCCCCCCCCAGCTGCTGTTTGGCCCCACGTGCCTGCAGCAGGGCTGGTGCCGCGCTCTGCCCCAAGCAGCAGGCGCATCTCAGCAGAGGTGTGCAGCCCCATCCATGCAGCTCCACATGGGACAACCCTAAAAAACCCGGTTCCAGAAGTGGTTTAGGTCCAGGTGGGTCTCAGTGAGCAGGCACAAGCCGAGGCAAAGCTGCAGCAGTCAGGGATGGGGAGCAGCCAGGACACCCGGCCACGGCCCCGAGGCACGGGGTGGCAGGATTTTGGACAGCGGTGCTGAGCTGGGGCTGGGTCATCCTGCTGGCACCATCCACCAGCACAGCCCCCCCAGCAGCCCACTCCTGGGGCTTTGGGGAAGGGGAAGGCAAAGCCCTGCTGCCCCCTCCTCCCATGGGCAGAGCCCCCCCCAGCTCACCCCAATGCTGTTATCGAAGTCCTTTTTGTGCAAAGCAAGGAGCCCTGCCCAAGAGACCCCCACTCACCTCCCCTTCTCCCCCCCCCAGCTGCTTCCATCACCTCTGCAAACCCCCAGCACCTGGGCAAGGGCTCCCAGCCCGCAGAGCTTTGTGCTGGGCTCTCCCCCAGCTCCGTGGGCATGGGAAGGAGTCCCTGAAACGCCCGAACAGCCCCGAGAGGGAGAGAAAACGGCAGAGGTTGGGTTTGCAGTCCAGAGTTGAGGTCAGGCGCTTCCCAATACTCTGCCTTGCCATCTAGTGGGATGAACGCGAAGGACCCGGGCTCACGGTGGGGAGATTTTGGGTGAATCCATCGGGATGGAGCCGACGCCAGCATCCCTGGTCCCGCAGAAGCAGACGAGGTGGCTGGGGCTAAAGGGCAGCGCCAAGGTGCCAGAAGGCTGGATGGGGAAGGAGGAAGGTCACGGGGATGGGCAGACAGGGGACAGACAGAGACAGCTCTTTAAAGGAGGACGTGCCAACAGGGCTCACAAATCCTGGCATTTTAGAGCTGGAAAGGCGAGCCTGGAGCAGCCCCAAATCCCTTTCACCATTCACCAAGGGTCCTGGCATTGGGACGTACACATCCTGGGGCCGAGCAGCCCTGCTTTGGGATTTGTATGGAAAATAAAGGCAAGGGCAGAGCGGTGCTGCACGTACGTGCACCCGCTGCCAGCGCGCTCGTGCCCGTGGCAGCTCGCAGGCACGAGCGCCCCAGCGGTGTCCGCAGCGTGCCCATATAAGAGAAGCTGGATCTCCTCTCGAGCTGCCTTCCTTTTGCCTCCCCAGGCCTGGAGGATGTGGGCTGAGCTCCGTGGTTTCAGTTCAGGATTTTGGATTCTCCAGGGATGTGTCATCTCTCTCACGGTACGCGTGTTTATGGCATGCGTTTAAAAATATAGCGGATGAATACATTACATCGAAAATATCTCACCACTGGGCAGCTCTTTTCAGGTTTTGAAGGCTGGGATGACACGAGATATTTTAACCACCTCCGAGGGGCTCTCTGCTGCTGGATGGGGGGATGTTTGGCTCCAGGCTTTGCCGCAGCTGAAACGGCCCCAAAAAAAGCAGAGTAGGGGGCACGCTGTGGGCACAGCTCCTGCTGCCCCCACATCCCCACTGGGTTTGGGGTCCTCGAGGGACCTGGGCACAGCCCCGGGGACACCCATCCTGCAGGTCAAACCTGACATGGCCAGAGCACCACCAGCAGCAATGCGGCTCCCAGGAGAGCCCCAAACCGGACACAGGGGGGTCCTCCCCAGGCCCCCAGGGAGGAAACCAAGAAATAAGTGGGACAGGGGGATGTGGGGACAGGGGTCACCAGTACAGGTGACAAAGCAGCTGCTGGGCTGGGTGAGGGCTCCCCATCGCTCCCGCTGCTCAGAACAGGACGCCGATTGCATTTTTCAACTCTTTATTTTATTACAGCTGCCCGCACCCTGCTCCGTTTGCCCCAGAAATGAATCCGCCCACACGCAGAGGCTCAGCTGGCCCAGGGTTCAATGCCTCAACCCCACGTTTCCCATGGGACAGCAAGAAATGGGGGGGTGCCTGGGGATGCTCCCCCGGAGCAGCCAGCGGTGGGGCTCAGGCGAAGCGTCCCGTGGGCAAGCGGGGCAGGCAGAAGTAGGCGTTGGGGAAGAGGCTGAGGTTGATGGGGTTGCCATCGAGGCGGATGTCCTCCAGCGCCCTGCGGATGTGGCTGTGGTCTTGGCTGTCGCAGAACGTGTCCTTGTGCATGGTCTGGATGTTGTTGTTCTGGAAGGGGAAAGCGGGATGGTGCAGGGGGCTCCGCATCCAACCCCCAAACCGATGGGGATTTGGTGCGGGAGAGGGGCCGTGTCTCACCTGGAGGTGCAGGGAGCGCAGGCTCTCGGGCAGGGGCGTGGGGACGTAGTCCAGCTGGTTATCGGACAGATGGAGGAACTGCAGCTGCTTCAGGTCCTGTGGGAAGAGGCAGGAGGTGAAGCTCCCTCCTTCCAGCCACGCTCTGACCCTCGGCACCATCCCAACCACCCCTTGCCGTGGCAGCTTTGGGCTAAAACCAGCCTGGTTGGGGCTGTGGGAGCCCGGCACAGCTCGGTGCCCGCTGCCAGCCCCAGCACCCACCCGAAAAGCTTCGGGCTGGAGCCCGGTGCTGGGGATCCTGTTGAGACGGGCGTCCAGCCTGACGATGCTGCGGGGCAGCTCGGGCAGCGCCGTCAGCCTGTTCTCGGGCAGGATGAGCTCCTGCAGGCTGGGCAGGAGGCGGAAAGCATCCGCATCCGCCCAGGAGATGGAATTGCTCGTCAGGTCTATTCGCTTCAGCTTCTCTGGTGGGAGAGAGAAAGGAGGAGGCTGGAGGCGTCCCACATCGCCTCTTGTACCCCCCGAGGCTGCCCCAGCGCTGAGCCCAGCCCTCCCCTTGCCTCGACGCACTCAGCCCCGTGAAATCGCCGGCCCGGATGGCGCTGATGCGGTTGAAGCGGGCGTAGAGGTAGGTGGTGTCCGGCGGCAGCAGCGGGATGCGCTCCAGGTCGGCGTCGTCGCAGTAGACCGAGGTGCCGATGCAGAGGCAGAGCAAGCAGCTGGGGAGCCCTGGGGGTGGAGAGGAAGCTCTGGGCTCGGCTCGGCACGGCACGGCTCCACCAGCCCCCCTGCAGCCCCCCAAAACCCTGCGGGACCAGCCTCGTAGGCAAACATGCTCTGCAGTACCAGGAGAGCTCAGCCCAGCACCTCCAGTGAGGGAAGGGCTGGGAGAGCTGTGGTGAGAGGCTCTGCTCAGGACCCGGTGGCTCCCACGGGAGATGCAAGGTTCCCAAACTCAACAGCGTTGCACCCAGGGCTCACTTGGACCCCCCTTGTTTTCATTCCGCAGAAGGAACAGCAACAAAATAAATAAATAAATAAAACCCCCACAATTTTGCAACGAACCAAAGACCTGTCTCCACCACCCAAGGGTCCCAGAGAGCCAGGCAGAGGCAGCAGGAGGGGGCTACACCGTGCGCCCCCCACACCCGCTCCCTCTCCTCGCCCCCAGCACCCGCCAGGCTCCGCATCCATTAGTGGGAGAGTTCAAAGCAGCAAGGCAACAATTTCCCTCTGCCTCCTACTTAATTTGTCCCAGTCCGGAGTGACAGAAAATGAATAAAGATATTTATCCCTCGCTACAGGATTTTAATTGTCACTAATCTAATTGCTACTCTGTCCGACTCTCGCAATGCCTCTGCTCATTAAGATGTTGCTGCTGTTTGCCGGAGCTCGTTTCCCAGAAATGTCTTGCTGCAGCTCTCCTGCCTGCTGTGTGATAAGGCAAAGCCCGGCACCCCTCATCTCCTCGCTGCCCAGGCACAGCAAATAAATTCTGCTGGCTGCTGGGGCTCCTTTTCCTGCAGAGCCCCAGCCGTGCCACCCCGGGACGTTTGGGTTCATTGCGTGGGAAGGAGACTCGTCCTGGTCTGCACTCACCCTGCGCGGGGCGGACGGGGCTGGAGGTCGGAGGTGGTGGTTTTGGTGCTGGAGCCGTGGTGCCCACCTTTGGGAGAGCCTCGGGGTCCTTGGGGCGGGGAGCCAGGGTCCCGACCTCGATCTGCAAACACAGCAGGGGCGTGAGGGCTGAGCGAGTGGGGGCACCGCGCAGGTCTCATTGGAAAGCCAGCTCTAAACGCCTCTCCTATCTTCAGGACCCCCCCTCTATTTGCCCAGAGGGATGTGGATGCCTCGTCCTGCCTTCCCCTGCTCCATCCCGCAGTGATGTGGCCAGGCAGGACACCGGGAAGCTGGAAGAGTTGGGATCAAGTAAAGCCTTCCCACCAGCAAGAGCAGAGGAAGAGCCACCAGGGCTCGTAGGCTTGCGTAGGGGGCTGCGACGCTTCTCCAGCCCTGGCCCAAACCTCGGAGCAGCCCCTGCCTTCTGTGCTCCCCCGTGCCCCCCTCACCTTCGGAGCAATGTCACCGTAGTCGTAGAGCTCCTCGTAGTTGCTCAGATCGACCACGTCCCCATAGCTGTCCAGCGTCAGGTCGTAGTTGTCCAGGTCCAGGTTTTCATAGAGCGCGAGGTCAACTTTGGGCTTCTCCACCTTCCTGCTCCCCTCCTGGGCTGGGACGGCCCAGGCTGCCCCCAGACACAGGCTGGCGATGCCCACCCAGGCCAGGGGCCGCATCCTGCGCCCAGCCGGGTGCCCTAAAATGATTTGCAAAGCGCTGAAAGCAAAAAGAGGGACGGGAAGGCAGGACCTGCACGCCAGCCGCGGCCAGCCCCACTCCGCAGCCGTGTCGGGGAGCTGCAGCCACTGCAGGGGACGAGGCTTTTCTTTTCTTTTCAGCCCATTTCACGCTCGGCTGGGCTGCCGTGCACAAGAGGCCCCAAGCAGCTGGGCTGCCCTCGCTTCCCGGCGTTCCCAGCCCCGAGGGGGCGGTGAGGGGCTCGGGGCACCCTGGGCTGAGGATGCTGCTCCCCAGTTTCTGCTGGTTTCCCCCCAGATCAAATCTTTACAAAATCTTACAATAAAAGCCTTCAACCCCCTGCATGCATCACCAGCCCCCCACCCTGCTGCTCGTCCCAGCCCCATGTGGGAGCCCCCAGGCTGGGCTCGGTGCTGGAGGAGCAGAAGGAGGGCAGCCTGCGTGCACCCCCTTTACCCTCCTTGGCACGGGACAGCCCCACTCTGCTCCCACGGGCTCCTGTGCTGGCCCAGGAAGGGCTTCTGGTTTTTTTAATGCCTGGAGAGGAGGGACGGGGGGGGACCTGGCATGGTTGCTGCTGAGGGAAGAGGCAGGATGTGGCCAACCAGGCTGGTGGCCTCTGGCTGTCCCCAGCCCCCCTCACCAGGACCTTGTATTGTTCCCATGGGCAAGGCACCTACAACTCACAGCCCCGCTCCATCTTACGGGCATCGGGGAGCTGTCATTACCCAGGACGTGTCCCACGGGGCTGGGACAGGGACACCCCAGGACGGGCAGGATGCGTGCAGCAGCCCCGTGGGCTCGTCGCAGCGCCGGGCAGCTCGGTGCCCACGCAGCCACCCACGGCCACAAACACTTCTCCTGCACGCAGCTCGCAGCCCACGCGCTCACCCACCCGAGACATCGCGCCCATCTGTGCTGCCTGCCGGCGCTGTGGGGACACCCTCGCAGCAGGGGACCGTCCTCGTCCACGCACCCAATGGCCCCCAGGCTGCCCCCACGCACGTCGTCCCCCCCTCTCCATCACAGGCCCCAACCCCCTCAGCACGGAGCAGAGCAAAGGGCTGCTGCTAATCTTCGTTAAGTCCCTCATTAGGCGGCTCAGCAGCCAGGGTGATGGAGGCGATGTGGCAGCTGGGGGAGAGGGGGGGGGACACATCACAGCTCAATTCCAAACCCCCTTCCTTTTTTCTGCGGTGCTCTGCTCCCCCGGGAGCAGGGGCTGACTTTGCCTGGAGAGGCAGCGAGTGGATGCCCACCCCGGGAAGCTCGTGATTCATGCGCCGCTCACAAAACGCGGGGATTTAGTTCTGCTGCAGAAAAATAATAAAAAAAATAAATAAATAAAAATAAAACCTAAGGGGAGCTCGCCGCCTGCTCTGCGCACACGCACACCCCGTGCACGCTCCCGTGAGCAGCCCCACGACGGAGCCCATGCGTTCGCACCCGCACCCACACCCGTCCTCCCTCTCTGCTCGTGATTCACGTGGGGAGAGCAGCAGCGAGAGGAGATTTTGAAGCTGCAGCGACGGGCAGGAGGAAAAAAATCGCTGCCTACACCCGTTCTGCTCATGGGAAAGCACACGTGCGCCCCGCACGGCCGCAGCACTGGGGGTCCGGGCTCGTTGCTGCAGGTGGGACTCGCCTTCCCCATGGGTCCCGAAGCCCATCCGAGCTGCCCCCAAGGGGCAAACTCACCCCAGGGATGTTTGTCCAGCTTCCCTGGGAGCACCAAGGTGACGTGGGGCAGCTCAGCCCCAATTTTGCACAAGCTGCCCCCAGCACAGAGCACAGCGAGGATGCTAACGCCCATCAGCTGCCCCCTGGGTGCTGCAGCTGAGGTCGGGTGCTCTTAATTAGCAGCGATGCTCATTAGGACAGGCACATGCTTCAGAAGCCTGACCACCACCTGCTGTGTGCAGGGTGCACCCGGATGAGCTCCAGCTTTTGGAGAGGCCTTTTTGGCCCCCAGGGAGGAGCCCTGGTCCCGAATGAAGCTCCTGTGCGAGGAGAGAGGCAGGTCCGGCCGCGGCTCTGGGTCCCTGGTGAATCACTTTATTTTCACTGCTGCGGGGAGTAGGAGTGAAAATACCATTAAGTTGAAGTCACTCGAGAACCACATATGTCTCTAGATATATCTGTACAGTCTACCAGTATATATACACATTATATATATAAATATATACATAGGGTCTCCGGGTTTAAGGTTGAAACCTGTCGAACCCAACAAAGCCCACTGGAGGAAGAGTCGGAGAAGAGATTTTTATTCTTTCAAAGCAAAACAACGCAACCAGCTCAAATTAGCACAGGGGTTCAACGATCCTTCCAGCGCTGGCTGCAGCCCAGCTCTGGTGCATGCAGGGCATTTGGGGAGGGGGCTCCCTGCAGGAACATCCCCGTCCCCGTCCCCTTCCTGGGGAGCGGGGCACGGTGCCCGTCCGTGCCCACCCCAGGGAAGGGTCATTTTTGGTGGCTGAACACCAAGGAGGTAATGGCTGGTTTCTTTGGTTTATTGCTTTACTGCTTATTTTGATGAGATTTTTTTTTTTTTTTTCCCTCTGATGCTCGGCCTTAAATCTAAATCCTGAGAATCGGGAAGAAGAAAAAATGGAGAATAACCCCTCTAAACCCGGACACCCTATATATGCAGGTATGGCTATCCAAGAGGGAAGCGATACATGTGGAAAAGGGGAGGGGAGGGGAGAAAAAACGGCTTTTCCCAAGGAATAATTCTTCCCTTTTCCTTCCCTTTCCTTTTTCAAACACAACAACAACAAAAACACGAGCAAACCAAAAAAAAAAAAATATCACCCAACCCACAAGGCAAAACCAGACGCGCGCATTCGGCTGGAGAAAGCGAGGGGGGCGTGGGGAGGAGAGGGGTCGTGAGAGAGGAGCGGGGATGGCGAGGGGGTCACCCAGCCCCGGGGGGGGGTGGCAGGAGGCGGGGGCTGAAATTTGGGAAGGGGGAGGATGGAGGAGTGGGGCCGGTCTCACCAAATAAACCCCGCAGGGAACAGGAGCGCGGGGGCTGCCCACTTGCGCATCGCCTCCTGCTAAATTTCCACCGGTCCCAGGAGCCGGAGAGCCCCGGAGCGAGGCAGAGCGGGGGCTGGAGCCTCCCCAAAAATTCGAGGCTGCCTCGGCCCGGTCCTGGGACGTGGCTCCGGCCACGAGGGGTCGTTGCCGGCCCTACCCGGCGGTGCCAACCCCGGTCCCCGCTCCCCGAGCCGGCCGGGGAACGAGGGGACCTCGGCGGGGACCTGGCACCACCCTGCCCGGGGGCAGCCCTGCTCCATCACGCTTTGGTTTCTGGGTTTATTTTTTTTATTATTATTATTTGAATTATTTTTTCCCTAGGGATCCACGGGTGGAGGTGGCCACAGGAGCACCCGGTGTGATGGGAGGTGGTCCCGTGGGCACGCAGCCCCCCGGGCTTCCTAAAGAGGGGCTGTGCCCGGCTCTGGTGCACGCTGAGGTGCCAAGAACCGGGATGCAGCCGGCTGGATTTTAGGATTTTGGGGGGTTTGGTGTTTGTACAGGCTGTGGCTGCCTCTGAGCTGAAAGAGCTCCACCCTGGGGCACTGTGCTAGCTGCCCTGCTGCTCAGCTCACTCCTATCCTATCACCTCAGCTCCATCAGGAGATGCTTTGGGACCAAGCTGGGACCTCCCAAACCTCGGCCAGGTCAAGGGGGGAGACAGAGCCAGCTCCAGAGCTGGCCAGGGTCCGGGCAGGCGAGGCAGGGCTGATGCTGGGAGCTGGGACAGCCTCTGCACCACGGTGCCATCCTGCAGCCAACGCTCCCCAAGGAGGCAGAAGCCACACGAGCCCACGGCCACTGCAGGCAAGGAAAAGTGGGGACACGAGAGGGACGGAGAGGCAGGGTGTGAGCAGGGGGAGAGGGAGGCAAAGGGGGTCCCGAGTGTCAAACGCCGACGGCGGGGTCGAGTCTCTGTGCAAAGCCAAGTCCTGGGAGAGGCGCGCGGGGCTAGAAAACCACGGACTGCAGGAGACGGAAACACATCATCAGGTCCAAGGGGATGGGGGGCTTCAGCAGGTTCCCGTCCAGCCGCAGGTACCGGAGCCGGGGCACGCTGTCCAAGTCGGAGGGGGAGAAGTCCTGGATGGACATCAGCGAGGTGGGGCAGATCTGCGTCCCGTTGATTTCTGCGGGGAGAGAAGGAAAAGCAGGGTGAGGGTTAGGGGAGGAGGAGAGGGATGCTAGAAGCCCCCCCGAAAACCTGCTGCAGCACCGTTACGCCGGAGATAACATTAATAACCGCTGATCCGGTGCACTGCCTGCTTCTGGATTTCCATACATTTATCCCCACCCCAGGGCCTGCGTTATAGGAAATAAAAAAAAGATTGAAAAGAAAAGAAAATGAGGATTCTTATGTCATTACCCAACCCCAGGGACTGAAGTCTTATAAAAGCTGGGTAAAAAAAAAAGAAGGAAAAGATGGAACATGAGGTGCACGACCACGCAGGCATCTCTCCATGGGCAGCCCCAGCAGGACCTGGTACCCAGACGAGTGCTCCGAGCCAGCAGCAGCCCCCACCTTCACTCCACCACCCCCTTTGAGGCAGTTTGGAGTTGCTTAACCAAAAACCAGGCATTTATCAGTGTTCCTCATCCCTGGGAACCAACCCAGGTGACCCCTCCCCAGAGAAGGGAGGTGGTTTTGTGCGGGTTTTGCCCCTCTCCCTGGCACCACGTCCCACCACGTGCTTGGCTCCAGAGGAGCCGGTGTCTCGCTCATCCCATCCTGGCTGATGCTGCAGTCAGTGCAGGAGCCCCCTGGTAAAGCCATGCTCTAATTTTACATCTCCTCCTCGGCAGCAGCCTGCTTTAGCACGTGAAGCCGCACACCATCACCTCCCAGTAAAGCACCACCAGACGTCAAAGCGCTCGTGTCACACCGCAGGCTGGGACCAGCATCCTGCAGGGTGTCTGCTTCCCCCAAAAAAAAAGTGACGATGCCCCGTGCAGGCCCCATAAATCCAGCACAACCAGATGCACGAGAGCCCAGCTCGCTTTCCTCGAAGCACGTGGAGGGCTCCTGGCAGGAGCGCTGCATTCCTGCTCCCCTGCCGACAGCAGGGACAGCAGGCTGCTGGCCCTCTAAACGCAGAAACATCTGGGGTGACCAGGAACGGGGCTCCGTCTTCTTTTCTAACGTGCTGGCTGGGTTCAGACGTTTCACAGGCCAGCACCTCTCCCGTGAAGTTGCTGTGCTCCGCCTGGAACGGTGCGAAGCTGCCCCGCTTGGCTTGCCAAAACAACCTCCATCGCAGCCCTGTTCTCCCTGTTCCTTCCTCTGCGAGGCTCAGCTCGGGAGCTAAGCTGGGTTATTTCTAACCATCTTGACTGCGTGTTTGGCATCTGTTCTTAAAATATGCGCACAGCCTCTCCTTTTTAAATATCCCTATTTCTGAGCCTTGCTGGGGAAGTGACTATCTAGATGGCAGGTAGCCCCCAAGAATTGCTGCCCGTGGCTATGAATGAGAAGAGCCCTGAAGCAGCAAGGGGGATTTAGCCTTGGTCCTCTACTAGCACCCTAATTCTTGGGTCATCCTTCCCCATCCGCAAATCCATCCTCTGCAGGGCTCTGTTTGCCTGCAGAAAATCCCCAGCTCATCTCATTGCTGCGTCCCCCTTTGAAAAGATCACATCCTACTGGGTTAAAAAACGTCCTTTTTAAGCAAAACGCTTCCCATCCCCGAGCCTATCCTCTCCCTGAGCCTCTCCCCGGCCTCCCGACGTGCCGACGGGACTCACTTTCGATGGAGTTGTTGTTCAGGTAGAGGTGCTCCAGCTTGGAGCTGATGAAGGGGACGTTGGTGAGCTTGTTGTGGGCCAGGTGCAGCACCAGCAGGTTGGTGAGGTTGAAGGAGTTCTTGGGGAGCCCCTTGTCGGAGATCTGGTTGTAGTTGAGCCGGATGAAGGCCAGGTTGGGAAACTCCTTGAAGTAGTCGCTGGGGATGTCCTCGATGTTGTTCCTGTCCAGGAAGAGCTGGTGGATGGCGTTGGGCACGCCGGGGGGCATTTTCCTCAGGATGTTGTGGGCGAGGTTGAGTTGCATGAGGTTCTTGAGTCCCTTGAAGGTGTTTTTGTTGAAGACGCCGTCACTGAGCTTGTTGTGGTGCAGGTCCAGGAGCACCAGGTTCTCCAGCTTGTTGAAGACCCCGGCAGGGATCTTGGAGATCTGGTTCCTGCTCAGCCGCAGCTGCTCCAGGTTGGGCGGCAGGAAGGCGGGCACCTCCTTCAGCTGGTTCTTCTCCATGTAGAGGAAGATGAGGTTTTCCAGCTTCTCCAGCACCCTCCTGTCCACCTTGCGGATGCGGTTGTTGTCCAGGTTGACCCATTTCAGCCCCGTGGCGTTCCTGAAGGACTCCTCCGGGAGGTCGTCGATGAAGTTGTTCTGGAGGTAGAGGTAGTGGATGCGGGGCGGGATGATGGGCACCTTCCGCAGGTTGCGGCTGTCACAGTACAGGGCAGAGGGGAAATCCGGGGGGCAGTAGCATTCCCGGGGGCAGTCGGGGAAGACGGAGGGGGGACCGGGAGGCAGGGGTGGGGGCAGCTCGGTGGGCTCGACGGGTTCCTCGGGCTCGATGGGCTCGGGAGGCGGGCGGGTGGGTTTCCGGGGGGGCTTCCTCCGCTGCCCGCTCACCTCCGAGATCAGCACGAGAACGAGTGGGAGAAGCAATCCGAAGGCCACCCTCATGGTCCAGATGTTTGCCTGAGGGAGGCAAGGAGAGGTGGGTTAGGAAGCGCCCGATTTAGGCACCGCATCGCCTCCCGTCGCCGCTCGCTCCGCCAGCGGGAGCTTACCCCACATCTCTGCCAGCAGCCTGCTATTTTCTCTCCTTCCCCTTGGAAGTTATCTTTACTTCCAAGCCCTCTCTCGAGCGTGAGTCACTGAGATCCCCCCTCCCTGGCTCAGCTTTATGCCATTGTGGGGGGGTTGCCTTTTTTCCAGTCTCATTTGGTGGTGTTTTTTTTTTTTTTTGAGTGCTGGATTTTTAAATTTTCGTTTGGCTTTTTAAGGAACAGCCCATGGATGGGGGAAGAGTCACCTACACACAAGCCACAGAAAGGAGTTTGGGGATAATTCCACTCCTTCAGCATCGAGCTGCACGAGGGTCCTAAAACTACAAGGAAATTGGGTGATAAATCTGGCAAAGGACGAGACGAGGGGTCAGAAAAAGAAAAATAGAGAGTAGAAATCCCTTGGCCAGTGGGAAGTGGGACAATGATGGACCAGGAGGGGACATTTTCCTGCTCTGAGCCCCAGCATCCCTTCAGCTTCCATGGGCAGATGTCCCCGGTGATGGGCAGGAGCCCTGCTGCCGCTGCGCCCTCTCCCAGGAGGATGGATTGCCCCTTCAGGGGCCTTGATGGATTAGGGTTAATTTTGCTCTCGAGCCAAAAAATCAATGATTCAGCAACAAATTGGCTGAGCAACAGTGTCGGAAGGCCAGCAGCAGTTAGCAGAGCGGTGAAGATGGATAGGGTTGTGCTTCAGGGACCAGGCTTTAAGGCAGGGTGGCACATTTCCAAGGCTGCGTGATAGAAGGGACATTTGCAAGATTGCACGTGGGCCATACCAAAGGTGTTTGGCTAGACAGCTCCTCGTGCTGCCCAAATAAATGATCCATCACCTCCAGTCCCACCGCAGGGTGCCAGGCTGGTAATTTAGGGGGAGTCCCAACAGAAGTGGGAGGTCTGGAGGGATCAGGCAAGGTCTCCAGGGAGCCCCTCCTGGACACCAGCCCATCACACGCACCACCTCTCCCCCTCTTGACCACATCCTGATTTTTGGGGTTGTCACCAAGCCCGGGGAGGTTTCCTCTCCCATCTCTGCCCTCCCTGCTGCTGCCTGGAGCTGCAGCAACCTTCCCTGCAAGGCTCCTGCTGGTTGCTCTCCAGCTGGCAGCTTGGAGGATGGAGGAACCCAGCGCCTTGCAGACGAGCTCCCCAGAAAGCCCTGTGCAGAAGGTGCTTTGGATGCTCCCCGGACCAGCTGGAGCAGGCCAGGCTCCGTGCTTTTTGGGCAGGCAGCAGATCCCCGGGGGTGTTCACCAGGCTTTTCCCAGCCGCGTTTGGCATCCCAGCGGGAGCGGAGCCGAGCTGGATGCACGGCGAGGCAGATGGAGGAGCTCAGCAGAGCCAGGGTGGGAAGGAGAAGAGAGTGAGGTGAGACGGGGAGGAAGAGGAGCCCAGGAGGAGGACGGATCTCCCGGGCTCACAGAGCGGCTGCTGCAGGAGACGCAGCTGGGATGGATGGCAGCGTGGGGCACCAGCTTTGGGTGATGCTGGAGCTAAAAAATCAGGCTGCCTCGGGCTGCACCCACCCCCAAGCCTCCTCCTGCTGCTTTTCCCTGGCGCAGAAATGCCTTTGCAGGTACCCCCCGGCACAGCAACCCCATTTCCATCGCAGCATCCCACCAGGGCCCGCATCCCACCCGCGGAGCCCGCAGGGACCCTCGGTGGGTGCTGCTCCCAGCCCCTGGGGCCGCGCCAGCCCCGCTGCCTTTGAAGCGATCCCAATCCCACGCATTCCTGGGGCTCAACGGCATTGACTCTCTCCATGAAAAGAGCCTGTTCTCACCCCCCCCACCCCCCAGGCCCAGCCTCGTACTTTCCTTTTTGTCTCGCTCGGCTCCCATCTGGCTCTGTTTAACCCTACAAGCCTCCCATGCCTGCTGTTTTCAATCAGCGCTCTGGCATCTCGCTGGGGGAAGGGAGGAACGGGGAGGAGAGGGGGGGGGGGGAAAAGAGCAACGGGGCTCGAGCCCTGCCAGATATTCAGCTCAGCAGTACTGCAGTCAGTCCCCTTCGGGGATGTACGTGCGTGCTCCCGTGTTGTCAGAGCACAGCTTCAGCAGCAGGCTGCAGAGAACAGACAAAATTCGCCGCATGTGGGCCCCTCCCTGGCCCCCACAGCATCCCTGCTCTCCTCCCTGCACGCCGTCTCCCCCCCCACACACTTCATCCCAGACTATTTCCATAGGATTTCGCATCAGCTCCGAAACTCAGACCTGGATTTTCACACCCACAAAGCCCCCGGGGAGCTGGGGAGGGGAGGGGGCTGAGGTCTGCGTTTGGCTGGTTGCGGAGGGAGGAGGCAGCTGGGATGCGAAATTCCAGCCAGCGCTCGCCACAGTCCAGGATTTTGGCTCCCTCCTCCTGCAGAGCACGGCTCCGTGCAGAACAATGTCACCCCAAGGGTGGGGGACGAGGCAGCGGCGTCACCCCATCAGGCTCAGGAGCTGGCTCAGCTCTCGACCCTTTCAGAAGCCACCCGGCACGTGCGCACGGGCACCCCTGTGCCATCCTCTCCGCGCGAGGTTTCGGCGCTGCGGATGTCGCGGGGCTCAGCAGGGATAGTCAGGGAGCCAGAAATTCAAAGGGCAGCACCCCGTGCCCTTTGTCGGCACAGCAGAGGCAGACACAGCCCCTCACAGCCACTGCGCCGCCTGCACCCCGCTGCCACGTCCCTACGGGGACGGGACCACAGCCCGTGGGACCACAGCCTGCCCACGGTGGCCGGGCAGGACACCAAGCTGCCAGCTCCACCGCGGCCCCTTGTGCTGCCTGTCCCCACCGGTGGCACCCCACAAAGCCACAAGCGAGGAGCCAGAGGCAGTCGCAAGCTTTACGGTCCCCTCCGGCACACTGGAAGGCTCAGAGCCGGATCTCCCTGGCCACGGCAGCGTTGGCAGCCTGTTCTCCGTCGACTTTCACACAGTTGAATGTCCTGGCGTGAACACAAGAAGCGGATTTCTGAGTCCCACGCCCTGATCCTGCACGAGCACTGGCCGCCGACCCCACGGCACGGCGCCTGCTCGGCAAACGCCTCCTCTCCACCTTTCCCAGCGGTCCCCAACGGGCAGGAAAACTCAAACCCCGGGTACCCCGAGGAATCCCTGCAGCTGGAACCAAGTTAAATCCCGAAGCAACGAATGCAGCCAGCAAAGCAACAGCCTGGTGCGAGGAAAAGGCTCGATTCATGAGCGAAATCTGCTCAGGCACCGCCTGAACCGAGCACAGCTTGGCCCAGGTGCAAGAGCACAGCACCCAGCAGATGCCAGCCTGGATTTTCCCGGGAGAGGCAGCTGCACGCTCGCTCACCCCGTAACAATTGCCCAAAAAACGCAGCACAACAGCTGGAAATTCCAGCCCCGAGTGCCGCTGGTGTTTGCTTTCCCAACACTTTATCCGCGCTGCATCTCACCAACCCCGAGCAGCGCCGGGTGCCAAGGGCGGGCAAAAATCCCAGCTGCTGGGGGCAGAGGGAGCTTTGCAAAGGTCCCCGGGGGATTTGCCCCAGACAGAAGTCACAACTGCTCTCCCTCGGGTGTCCCCTGCCCTCCCCACCTCCTCCTGCAGCCATTTGGGATGCCGAGGGGGGCAGCTGGCTCTGGGCAGCTGTCCCTGATGGATCCGGGCCCCCTGCTCCTGTAAAGGTGCCACGGGGGGATAAAGGGAGCCTTTGGATTTGGGGAGGCAAAGGCAAAGCCTTGGTGGCTGGACCAGGGACTCCTCCTAGCCCTGCTCCCAGCCCTGCTCCCTTCACAGCTCTCCCACTGCTGCCTCCAACCCGCATCTCACCTCTGCCCCCCTGGCTGGAAAACACCCCCAGCCTCGCTGGGAACCCGCACGCTAAGGCAGAACGAGGAAAGCAACCTAAAAATAACCCCAAGGAGCCAGCAAAGCTCCCCTGTCGGCCTCCCTCCGCCTCCAGCTGCCGTAACAGCCCATTGGGCTCTCTGCAAGAGCCTGGGTCTGCTCAGCTGGAACCGAAACAGGGAGCCCTTTATCCAGCACTGCTGGGAATGCTGCAGAAAGGCTAACCAAGCCTGTCCTCGGAGGGGAGGGCAGACACCCGCACGTCCCCGGGGCACCCTGGGGAGCACTGATGCAAGGAGCCACTCCTCTCGCCCTTTCCCAGCCGAGGGCTGTCTGCCTGGCCGGGACTGGAGCTGGCACTGCAGCCACCAGACTTGTTGCAAAAGGCTCGCCACGTTCACTGAGACCCCCCCCCAGCTGGAGGGCCCGTGGGAAGGCAGTGAGCATCTCTGCTGCCTTCCCCTGCCAGCAATTCCTCCTCCTCCTCCTCCTCTCACACCCCTGTGTCCCTATAGCCCTTCCCAGGGCTGCCTCGGGCTCAGCCCACCCGCAGACCCCTTGCCACACACGGGGCCAGCAGCTGAGCACCCACGGAAAAAAATCACAGGGGAAAACACTCCCAAATCGCTCACAGCTCAGCCTCGAGCCTGCCCCACGCCCCCCCTGCTCCCCTCCCAGCAGATACCTCGCGCCAGCCCCTCCAGCTCTGCTTTCTCTACAAGTTGGGAACCGCTCGCTGATGCTTTATCAGCTCCTTCTGCCTCATCCCTCCCCTCCAGCCCCTTCCCAAGGCGGAGGAAACCTCCCCCAGCTGTGCTTTCATCCCTTCCCAGGTGGAAGCACTCAGCCCCTCGCCCTGCCAGCAGGCTGGGACACCCAGCACGCCGCCCTGGCTCCATCCTGCTCGGTGCTGGGCTGGCCCAGGAGCGGCTCCTTCCCCAGGGCAGCGACCACGGCTCGCGGGATGCCGAGCACCACATAAGGCAGGCCCCGCGATCGCAGGCTCCCAGGAAAGTTTCCAAGCCTTCATGTGCTGCGTGCTTCGCCTCCGGCTGCCAAGAGGATGAATTTATTTTTTATTTTTTTGCTTTGCGCCCTGGGGATGCTTTTTCCTAAAAGCACGCAGCTCTCAAACGGGAGGGGAAGGGAGAAAAATGAGTCCTGTCTGTGCACTCAAACATTTCCCCGGGACTTGAGGGAACGTCGCTGCCCCGCTGCCTCCTCCCTCGTCTCCTGCCTCTGCTGGAGCAGGCACAAAGAGCCGGCTCCCAGCCCTGGGGGCTGTGGGGGGGCTGTGCGGGGTGGCAAAGCGGGCGCTACGTGCTCCGGGAATGGGATCCGGGCTCTGCCTTTTGGGTGGGGGCGCAGGGCTCTGCCGCTGAAACTCAGAAAACCCTCGCTGGACATCGCCCCCGGGGCTCCCAGAAGTTGTGTGGCTGCACCGTGCCACCCGGCTCACCGCTCGGGACCCTCGGCAGCCCCCTGCCCCCTTTCCCTGCAGCCCCCTCTGGAAAGCAGGAGCTCAGCACCCCGCTGCCCGCGGTGCACGAAGCGCTGGGAGCAGCCCCAGCTCCGCAGGCGTGCGCTCTCCTCCCAGCCTCTCTCCCTCTCCTCGCACGCTTTTCCTGCTGCTTTCCCAGGCAGGGGATTGCCCCGGACACGACTCGGGTTGTGCAGCCTCCTCCTGACCCCCCCCAGCTCGCCCACCAGGCTGGAGAGCCAGAGCCGAGCCCGTGTGTGGTTGGGAGCGTGGGTCGGAGCAGGGGGAGACCAGGGGGGGACCAGGGGGTCCGAATACGCCTGGCAGCAGCCCCAGCGCCGCCGCTCACGGGACTTTCTTCTGGCTCTCAGCCCCCTCCACCCCCAGCCTTTGCCCCACGCTGAGCAAAACTCCTGCAAAATAAAAGGGAAAAGGGGAAGGAAACAAAAGACTCCAGCTGCTGAAGAACAGAAAACCCAAGAGAGGAGAGAGAAAAGGAGCAGCAAAACGCCGCCGTGCGTGTGAGAGAGGCCAGAGAGGGCAGGAGCATCGTGGACCAGTGCAGCATCCAGGCTGGATCAAGGCAAGGCGAGAAGAGCCTCGGGGGGGAAAGCACCTGCCCACAGCTTACCTGCGTGCACCTCTCCCTCCTCCTGCCTCTTATTAATCCCCAAGACAATTTCTCTCTGGCTGTCTCCCTCCTCCTCCTCCTCCTCCTCCTCCTCTCGGCACCGCGGCTCCGCCACGAGCGAGCGTTGGCCGAGCGCGGCGCGCGGGGGTTTTGTTCCTGGGAGCCGCTGGCCGAGGGTGGGTGGGAGCGCGGGAGGCGGAGGGCTGGGACGGAGGCGAGATGACAACAAAAACGTCTTTATCTGGCAGCCAAAGCGCTGCCTGCGGGCTCCGCCGCGCGCACATGGCCTGCCTGCCTGCCGGAGGGCTGGCGTTTAATAACAATTCCTTCTGCTGCGGAGGCTGCTCGGGGCCCGTGTTTAAAAACAAAGCTAATTAATAATTGGAGTAAGCCCTTCCCTCGCCGCGGCCCCTGCTCCGGGAGCGTTGTGCGCCCGGGACGGTGTTTTCCAGCCACGCGTCTGCCTCGCGAGCTGGGGCTGGGCGCGTGCCGCGGGGCTCCCCGCGATGTCCCCCGTGGGTGGGTGGCACGGCATGGGGACATCCAGCTGCCCCCCACCCTGCTCAGCCCCCTGCTGGGGTCTCTGTTCCTGCCTGGCAGACGGCACCCTGCGATGCGATGTGGGTTTCATTCACTGCCGGCTGGAGGTGGCTTTGATTTAAATCCCGATGGGTAATAAAGGGGAGAGAACAGAGCTGCAGTGGTGTGGGGCTGCTGGGTTTTACCTTCAGCTTCAGCCAGGTCCCGGGCTGGAAAACTGCTCTGCACGGAGGGGACGTGGCTGAGAGACCCCACTGTGGGGTCTGCGGGGGCTCGTGGAGCTCAGGGGGCAAATTCTGCCCCCAGGGGCTTGCAGGCAGGCTGGGATCTGGTGCTCAGTCACAGCCCTATGGAACAGCCCAGGGCTGAGCAGGGGACCCCACAGGCCGTGGGCATCCCCATCCCGAACACCCCTCGGGCAGATTTCGGAGGGCAGGGGCTCTTTGCCCTCCCCATGAGCCGCCCCCCTTTCCAGCCAAGCCAAATCACAGGAGGGGCTGGGAAACCCAAGCTGCTCTTGGAAAACACAGCCCAAACCCCACCAGAGGCTGGCAGCCCCCCAGGAGGGGCTGATCCTGTGTTCCCACACTCTGCTGATGGTGGCCACCAGCAGCAGCTTCAAACGGCCCAAATCAGAGCCCCAAAAAAAGGTCCCACCGGCTGGACCCCCCCGTCTTGCCCTGCGCTCCCTGCACCCCTTCTGCATATTCGTTTCCAGCTCAGTGGCTTTTTCCTTGCCCCAAAACTGGGGTCTTGCTGGTGCCCAGCTCCCAGGAGCGAGCTGGGGCACCCAGATGCCTAAAAGCCAGCAGGCAGCAGGAGGGTAAGGCAGAAAAGGGACAAAGAGGAACCACATTGGGACTCCGAGTTGTTTAAACAAAGGGTCCTGGTGGAGACACGTGTTTGCCAGCTGGAAAAGGCTCAGAATCAATAGGAAAATAATACGCTCTTTTTCAGCCTGGAGATTTACACTATTGGCTCTAAAAATAGTCAGAAGTCCCCAACTCCAGCTGAACGTGGGCTGTGTTTCATGGCTTTTTTCCCCCCTGCTACCTAATAGGTACTCAGCTGGGCACTGAGGGTTGCACAGGGGAAACTGAGGCACCAAGCGGGGCAGTTGCTTGCTCAAAGTCCTTGCTGCAAAGCCAGGCACGGAAACATTTTGTGTTCCAGACTTTACCCACCATGCTGTAAAGGGCTGTGAAGCTGCTAACACAGCTCCCATTGCTGGGAAGCCCGAAAAACCTTTCAAAAATCTGGTGAGTACAAATTTTTCCCTCGGCCAAGCGACTTTGTTTGTTGAATTTTCTTCCTGCAGGAATTCCTCCCGGTGTCCAAGTCTCGAATCCACCTTCAAAGGCGCCCTGTTTGGTTTGTAAGCGGCAGCAGCAGGCTGCAGCCTCCGGCCCGTCGCACGTCTGCAGAAAAAAAACAGCAAACGAAGGGGATGGTGGAGGGGGCCCGGTGAAATACCCCTGCTCTCGTGGTTTTTTTTTGGCTCTGGGAGATGCCAGGTCCAGATGCAGCATCCCAACCATCCCCAGCCCCCCGGTGCCACCTCCCCTTGGCTCGTCCCCTCTTCCCGGCCAGCCCCGTTCCCTCCGCAGAGGTTTGCTGCAGAAATACCGCTCTGGTCTGGCGGAGGTAGGGGAGGAAATGGCTGAGCATGAAAGCAGCAGCAGGCAGAGCCAGGACCACGAGGACGGCTTGTCTCGACCACAGGGAGCACAAGGGCCGGCCGTCGAGCGGGTAAATGGGAAGGGAAGGGGGCTTCAGCACCCAGCCCCTTCCACCAACCTGGCTGTGAATCCCCTGCAGCCACCCCACAGGAGCAAACAAGGAGCAGCAGAAGGGCTAAGGATGGGGATGTGAGCAAGTCTGGGGCAAAAAAGCCCATTATAAGTGGCTGCGGGTGGTGGCTCCAGCCCCAGGGCTTTCAAGAAGGGGAATTTCGCAGCACCGGAGGCTTCTCAAACACCACCGAGCACAGGGCTGGCCCCAGACCAGGTCTGCCTTCCCTGTGTTGCAGCCTGGGGTCCTCAGGAATAAGAGCCTGAAGTGGCTTTTCAGGCGGAGGAAGATGTTTATTCCTTGTGTTATTACGGCATCAGCCACCCCATCCCAAGCCGAGCCTCCCCAGTGCTCGGTGCCGTACAAACACGGATGATTTATGGCGCGGCATTTCCTTCTGACAGCCAGTTCTTAAAAATCCCCTCAGAGAGCTAAACAAAAAATTAATTTCAGAAAGGAGGGGAAAAAAAAAAAAAAAAAGAAAAAAAGGGCAGGAAACCTGAGCTGCCCCTGCGGCCACTGGGTTGGATCAGCGCGTGCTTGATGCGCAACGTCAAAGCAGCCTGCCCTCGGCCAGCACCCCGTGCCTCCGTCCCCAGCACCTCCAACCCACCCTGACCGCGGGTGCTGCTGTGGGTGACCCGGGCAGTGCTGGTGTCATGGGAAGGGGCCACCAAGAAGGGACAATGGAAGCCCAGGCATCCCCCCGAAGAGATCACTGGTGGTTTGGGACCGCAGCGTGAGGGTGCTGAGCTGCTTTCCCAGGGAGCTGGAGCTCTCCCGGGGCTCCGAGCATGCCCCCCAGCCTCTCCATGGGAAGCAGGGGGTGCTGCCACCAGCACCGAGTGGCCACCAGCCTGGAGGAGCAAATTCCACGTCCCCGGGCTCGCCGTGAGCCAGGGACAGGCTCCTGCCCTGCATCCCTGCAGCGGGGGGAGCGCGCAGCAGCCCCATCACGCGAGAGCAGGAGGGCTGGGAAAGCATCCTCATGAGCCCGGGAGAAACACTTGGCTGCAAACAAAGCTCTGGAGGTGGAAGTGAGCAAAGGGGAAAAATATGCTGCTCCGTAAGGCTCGGATCCTGCCCTCCCAGCACCGGGATGCTGCGCACTGTGCTCCCTCCCACGGCTGCGCGCGGGGCAGGGGCAGAGCGCGCCTGCTCCGTGCCCACAGCTCTGCCTCCAGCAAACATCTGGAGACAGCCAAAAACGCTCCAGGAGTATGGGGGGGACACATGCAAGATGCTCAACCCCCTCCTTGAATGAAGGAGCTCAGAGCTCAGCTGGGGAGGGCGCTTGGGTCACTTTGGTCACCCCAGCACGGGGACCCTGGCGCACACAAGAGAAAGAGGGTGAGAGGTGGAGGAGGCAACCAGCATCGCTTCCTCACAGCCATGCACATTCCAAATCCCTTCCTCCCCAGCACATCCTGGCCTTGCCATCCACCCCCGAGCACCTCACGCTGCTCAGAGCAAGGAGCAGAAGCCACACAGAGCAGGACGCTGCGCTTCACCAGCTCAGACGGAGAAAGATGGGGCCAGGCTGGAAAGAACAAGCTGCCCTCACTTCTGAGGGAGAAACACGGCCAAGAAAGCCAGCTGACCTCTGCCCCAACCAGGTGTTTAAAAAAATAAAGAGCGGAAAAACAAGAAATTATTCTGTTTTGAGCACAGCTGCTGGTTTGGTCATTAAATCCACGGGCAAATCTCCTCTGGAGAATGTCCTCGGCAGTTGAGTGCCCGAGCACAGGCGCTGCAGCAGCCAGGGAAGGGTTAGGGAATGGAAAACGCCTGCAAACCTCTCACCCTCGGGGCAGGCTCCCTGTCCTGCAGCCCCTGCTGGAGCCAGCTGGAGGAATGCAAAGAGACGTGACGCTTTGGGACGAGCCAGCCTGGATGAGGACAGCCCCAGGAGCTGGTCCTGCCCAAGCCAGGGTCTGAGACAAGGACGCAAGGAGAAAGGGGATCAGCATCCCTCATCACCTGGGGAAACTGAGGCAGGAAGGAGCTCTGCTCTCACCCAGCTAGCTGCCTTTTCCTCTCCGCAGCCCGCAGTACTTCCCAAGCCGTGCCAAGCTTTTATTTATGTTCCTTTTGCAGCCTTGGCACGGAGAGGCTGGCGCAAGCACGCGCACCAGCCCGGCCCCGAGGTTTGTCCCAACCCCGGTGCCAAGCCCGCTGCCCTTGCCCTTGTTCACCCCATGGGGAGGGAGCAGCGCTTCCCCGAGGGGCTGAGACCCCACAAACTCATTGCCAGGTCACCCCCAGGGAGCCTCAGCCCCCCCCTCCCCAAATAAAAGCCAAAGCCCTGAGAGGGGCTGAGGCTGCGTGATGGGGACCAACCTGGCATTGCGGTGCGTGGGGATCCCGTCCCCACCGAATGTCACAGATCGGTGACAGCAGGGCTGTCCCCATCCCCAGGGCGGCCACAGCACAGCTGCCAGCTCCCCTCACTCTGCACTGCGACCACTGAGCCCCCCCTGCACCTTCCTCCCCCCATCTCACAGCTCCTGGGCTATTCTCGTGGCTGCTTTAAGCGCAGGGAGGGGATAGAGAATTCGTCAGACCTCACATTTCTCGAGGATTAAATCATCCGGCTCATTTCTCCGAGGGAGAGAAGTCCAAACCCCCTTTTTCTATTTTTTTTAATTTTTTTTTTTCCCCTGCAGGGCCGAGCAGCCGCTTATTAGCTCTTGGCAGCGGGGCAGGGCGCGGGGCCAAGGGCTGCTGCACACATCAGCTCCTGGCTGCAGCGCCAGGGGGCTGGGAACTGTGGGGAAGGGTCCAGGACCCCCTCCCTCCCCAGGGGTCCCCCCAGCACAGCCCCTGCCTGCAGGGAACCCTGTCCCCTCCTCTCCTGGGTCTCCATCCACTCAGCTCTTCCCTGAGGTCCCATCCCGCTGCCTGCTGAACAGAGGGGAAACTGAGGCACGTGCAGGATGGTGGCAGCCAGGAGGAGCAGCAGGAGCCCAGCACGGCCCCTTTGGCACCCCCAATTTTGGGGCCACAGAGCCCAAAAGCCCCAGGGGAGCAATTTACCCCCCTGGGGTTAAACGCTGCCTACCCAGGGACCTGCATCACCCTTTTTTGGAGTGGGGTCGTGGCACAAAGGGGTCCCCAGAGAGGCACGGGGACAAGGGCAGGTGACCGAGTGACCCCGCAGCGATGGCCTTACCCGGCCCTGACACGAGACGAGGATCTCGCCTCGAGGTTAGGCAACGTCTCGGCCCCAGATGCTTCAGGAGGACGTGGAAACGACTTCAGAGATGCCTTGGAAGCAGCTGGGGTGCCTGGCAGCCACCTCCTCCTGGCCCAGGGTCCCCAAGGCCACCACGGACCCCTTGCGCACTGGGGGCTTGGCACTGCCAGGAGACCTTGGGTGGGGGGAGAGGGGGGAGAAGCCCCCTTTTTGCTTTTCTCCTGCCCCCCCACGACAGCAGGCGGCAGCGCCTGGTGTCCATTAGTGGCTGCTCTCTAGGAGCCAGTGCTTGGAGCAGCCCAGCGCACACGGCCCCGGCACGCCAGGAGGAACAGCAGCAGCAGCAGCACCCAGGGCTGGATCCTGCCTCCCTCAGCCCCTCCGTGTCCAACCCACGTGCTGGGCACTCAGCAACCCCCCTGGCCACAGGGATGGGGGGCACAGCTCCCTGCTGTCCCCTAAATGGAGAGGGGCTGCTGCACCCCCAGCCCCATGGCAAGGCTGGTGGAGGAGCACGCACGGCCCCAGGCCCCTCTCCAAAGCCTTTTGCTCTTGCAAAGCTCCCCAGATGGCCACATTTTTGCACCCCCAGCTGCCTTCATTCGAGATGAGCTGACCACTCTCCAGGACAAGAGGTTGCTGCAGCCCCTGCTGGTGGCAGGGACAATGGGGACTGTGCCACGCTCCAACCACACCAACCCCAAACACGTTGGAAGGGGAAGGACGGAGGGCTCCTGGTGTCAGCTCGGTGCTGGGCAGAGCAGGAACAAGGGCGTGATTCAATGCAGCTCCCAGTGAAGCACCCTGGAAACCATGAGAGCAAATATCCTGAGCCAAACACCCAATTATCCAGGGGGACCCATCACCACAAGATGCCGCTCGGGCCAAGGGCTCTGCAGAGCCTTAAATAAATACATAAAATAATACGTGAGGGACTGCCCGCGTGGAGGGAGGCTGGGGACAGCCAGGGTGGCAGCAACCAGCAGGGACAAAGCCCCCGACCAGCAGAAAAGCACCGGGGGCACGGAAGAAAGGAGGCACCAAGCTACGGTAGACATCTGGCCTGATTTTCTGAGGGATGCACGCCTGCCCCTGCACGGGTGGAAGCAGGGGTGGCCCTGGTGATGGCAACTGGGTGACAAAGCTCCCCGGGGGCTGCCCCAAGCCCCCGTCACCTCCCCTGTCCCATCCAGGCTTTGCCATCGTGGTGCCGCGGTGGCTGCTCGCAATGGGAACACCTGAGTCGCGTCTGGCCCCGCAGCCCTCCCTCCGTTTTGGCCTTCATCCTTCCCTCCTCCCCTTTGTCCAGTATTTTTCCTCTCCGCAGGCAGGAGCCAGCCGCCTGCTTTCCCTGCATGACTTCAGCTGCTCCAGGAGCTCGCCCGGCTCCCCAGGACAGGGGGCACAAAGTGCCAGAGCCCCCCCCCACCGCCCCCAGGGCTCCTGGTCTGGGGGCTGCCCCCATCCCAGCAGCTGCTCCCCCAGGGTGGGCTTTGGGGGAAATAAAGGTGATAGAACCAGGAGTTATCGGGAGCTGGGGACTGAGCCCGCGCGCCCCAGGTGGGGACATTCCCACCAGGAGACCCCTTCCTCTGCACCGAGCACACGGTGGTGGCAGCCCCCAGGTCCCCAGCCCCGCTCCGGTGCCTGTGCGCACGATGGGGAGGTGAAACCAGACAGCACAGAGGGGCTGGGGATGATGGATGTGGCAGCCCGATCTGGGAAGTAATCTCGGCAGCCCCATTAAATTACTGCTCGTTACGCCCGGCGCGGATTTGCCTATATTGCTTGGCACAGCGCGAGGAGAGAACCGGCCTCGTCAAAGCCCCAGAGACCCCCAGAAACTGCTCCAAATATTGCAGCTATAAATTCAGCTCCCTCCTCCAGCGGCTCAGAGCTGCCGGGGGGTTGACTCAACCCCTCTCAGCACCCTTTGTGCCAGGCCCCCGGCACGGGTCCCCCCCTGCAGCCCCTCACCCAGACACCTTCAGCCCCTGGGGTGCCCCCATCGCCCCTCCTGCTGCCTTTCCCACCTCCCTCTGTCCCACAGCCACTCGTGCAGCAGATTTGGGACTATTTGGGCAAGTTTAGGCTGCGGCATCCGGTCCTTGACCCTTTGCACGTCCCTTGCTCTCACCAGGAAACCAAAACCCATTTCTTATCCACTTTGTGCTTTTCCTTTTGTGAGCAAACGCCCCATTTTCTCCTCTCAGCCTCTTTCCAGGAACAAAGACCCCACTGTGGCTGGGTCTCTGTCTTCTCCAGGAAGCACCTGGAGAATTTTTCCCCCTTTCCAAGCCATATTCTTCCTTCCACACGCCAGCACCCATCTGACGCAGGCAGGGACCAACCCAAAAACCCAACCTCACTGCTCCCCTGCAGCAGCTGCAGCGCTCCCAGGCAAGAGTTAACTCTTCCTCGCAGCTCTGCAGCTCCCCTTGGTCAACTGCTGAGTGGGGAAACATCAGAGGCAGCATCAGATTTCCAAAAACATTCCAGGACTGGTCCTCCGGGGCCATATCCTCATACCCCCATCCCCTATAAAAGTTTTCCTTCCCCCCCTCGGGAAGAGCAGGGCTGTAATTAACCCTGGCTCGCCCCCAAGCTGGGTAGAGCTGGGAATCGTCCCCAGCACGGACTCATCACCCAGCCCTTCCTCTGGCCACTCATCACCCAAATATTTCAGGCCCAGTTGTGCAAAGAGCTCGTTGTGCAAAGGGACGGAGCAGCCATCTGGGCAGCACAAGGGGGAGGTGAGGACATCACCAGACCCAAAATTAGGGGCTCAGCATCTCCCACCCTAAAAGAGCCCAGGGAAGGAGCTCAGCCTTCGACTGCGGTGCTCCCCATTTCAGGGGGCAGAGCTGAGGGTGCTTTGGCAGCAAAGCAAGCACAGGCATCAGGGGTCACCCTACAGCCCCCGTCCCCTTACTTCAGCCCCATATTTTGCCTCAAAACCAGGCAGCAGCACCGAGGGAACGAGCACAGACGGGTGCCTGGTGCCACCGCAGCCTCCAGCACGCAGCACCCCAGGTGGAATCTCATCCCCAGAAGCATCCTGCAGCGTCTCCATTTCCCACTGAAGGCTGCACTGAGGAGTAAAAATAGCACTGAAGTGTTTTGATTGTATTGAAAAAATAATGTTTCCTTCAAGTCCAATTGAGCTTTTTTTTTTTTCCTCCCCCAAACTGTTCTGTTTTACGAGAAACTTCTTATTTTCGTTCGTCTATTATTTTGGAGTGGGAAAAGAAAAAAAAAAAGCAGAATGCGCAGCCGTTCCAGTGAAACTGAAAACCCCGCTCCTGTCCAGCTCGAGCTGCTGCTCTCCCTTTTTTGCCTTCAAGCAGAGAGCCACCGAGGCTGAGGAAAGGGCACAGCAATGCAGTGGGAGAGGCTGGCGCGACGAGGCTCCTGCCTCCCCCGGCGGTACAGGGAGTCTCATCATGAAATGTGTCGTGGTGAGCTCCCAGCTTGCTGCAGATGAACTCCAGAGGTCCTGGGAGCTGGGGTTATCCATCAGGGCTCTGCTCGAGCTCCAGGTTTGTTTTCCTGGCTTGGTGGTTTTTGCTCTGCTCCGAATCCGTTTCGGCATGGAGCCGCTCCAGTCGTTGCACAAGCTTCGAGATAAACTCCTCGCGAACCAACGCTGAAAGCTGGGAGGAAAGGAGATGAAGGGAAACAGGGAATAAATCACAGCCCTGCTGGATTTTTCACCTCGCTGAGCATCTTTCATCTCCCTTTTTCTCCCAGCCATCCCCCAGCACAGCCCCAATGCCTGCTGCGCTCAGCATTCCCCCTGCAGGGGCTCCTGCCCCCAGCCACTGCCCCAAAACATCCAAGCCCAGGAGGGTTTAACCCCTTTGAGAGTGGGAGCAGGATAGGACAGGGCTGTCTGTAGCCCTCCAGCACCACCATCCATCAGCTGGTGGATGGCAAAGCTGGTGCTGGGCTAAAGCCAGACTTTCTGGAGCTCTGCACAGACCATTTGCCAGGGCAAATCCCCCCAGGGCATTGCAGATGCTCGTCCAGCACCAGCTGGCTCCAGGGAGCAGAGGGGCAGAGCCAGGCGTGCTCGCAGGATTTGTGAGCCAGCTCTCGGGCAGCCCTGCAGGCACCTTCTCCATCCCCATTCCTCCACCCCATCCCTCTTGTGGGGCTCCGTACCGAGCCCCCCAAACCCCAGGGACCCCAGAGCCTTCCCCTCCTAGCAGAGGGGGGCACCTGGCACCCCACCACCCCCCTGCATGGGCGAGGAGCTGCCAGCGCAGCCCGAGATCCAGGGGTTAAATCCCCCGGCTGGTGAGTCAGAAAAATCTTTGATGCAGCCAGAAGGAGCTGAGTAATTTGTGTATCTGCAGAGGTCACATTGCCTCCTCTCTTTTTACGTCTGTTACTCATGCTGCTCCTTCCCACTCTCCCTCCACAGCCTGGGCTAGCCTCTTCTCCCCCCCAAGCTCACCAGCTCTTTACTACTGTTGCTATTAATTAGCGGCATTCGCACGGCCCCGAGGAGCCCCTGGCAGCAGCTCCCAGCCCCGTTGGGTGCCGAGCAGCGATGGGTGCCAAGCGCTCGCCCCGCTGCCTTTCATCTCCCTCGCTCCTCCCTGGCTGTTCATCCCTCGCAGCCCTGCGGTCGCGGCGAGAAATTCGGAGCGGTGGAGTTCCTATAGGAGGAACCCTGCTGCCGGCTCTGGAGCTGGTTTTCTGCAAAGTCACTTAACCCCCGAGTTACGAGCCCTGGGAGGCAGAGATCTCGGCTGTGCAGCCCCCATGCCTTGGCTCAGCATCGGGGCACACGCCGGGGTCCCCCAAGCTCTTGCACCCCCCCTTCTCCTGCACCCAAGCGACAAACACCAACCACGAAAGAAAAATTGGGTCCATGAAACAAATCCTTGCAAAACTGGGACCGAGCTGCTCAGAGCAATGGGGCATCTTAAAGCCTTGCATCCCTCAAGTAGCAGCTTCACTAATCCCAGGGTGCTACAAAGCACCGGGGCAGCCAGAAAGGCTTCCCTGCGTTTAATCAAATCACTTCATTAGGTTGTTTAATAAGCAAGGGAGCTCTGGGAACACCGGGGTTTCTCTGCTCTCATGCAGCATTTGGGGAAGGAATTTACGGCGCAGCTCTTAGGGCCCGATCAATCTGCTTCTAATCCTCCCTCAGCCTGCGTGTTGCAATAAAGCTCCGTGCTCCCACCGCCCTGCTTCCCCCAGGAGATGCCTGAAGGGATGGAGATGAAGCAGGCACCCCTCAAAGCCCCCCAACACCCCCACAGCTCCATCCCAGCTGCAGGGAAGGCATTTCCCATGCGTGGATTTTGCATTTTTGGGCTTGCGCTTTGCCCCTGCGGTTACGGATGGGGATTGTGGCACCAGGCACCATGGGCTAAGGCAGCACTGGGTCAGCTCGAGGGGCTGCTCCTCCTGCCTAGCAGAGGGGAGCACTCGAGCAGGCACCTCTCCAAGCAGAGGAGCTGCCCCCCAGAGCAGCATCCTCGACGCGCTGCGGCCGTCCCCTATTCCCCTCCAGATGGATTTGCTTTGCGTTTTCCAAACTGGGCCTTTGTGTTTCCTGCAGCTTTTTTCTAACCTCTCTGATCTCTCTGGTATTCGCAAATCCTCCCAGTTCTGCATCCTCGGAGGGTTTTGTGCATGTGCTATTTCCTCCCTCGTCCACAGCGTTCCCAGAGCCCAGTAAACACAGCGGGTCCCGGTGGGCCACCACTGGACCTGTGCTTTCCATCTTCCCTCACTCGCAGAGCTCTGAAAACCCTCAGAGGAAGCCACAAACATTTCCACAGCAAATTCAAGTCCGTGAACTCCACACATCTGCTGGCCACAGCTGGGAACCCCAACCCCAGCCCCAACCCGGTGCAGCCCGCAGCACCCTCACCCTCCTCTTCCTCACCTCCCCGTGCCTCGGCTGCTCCCCAAGGGTGAGGACTGGAAAGCTGGCTGCGATTACTGGCTGGAGGTGCAAACCTTCACTCCTCCATCCAGAACAGAGCTGCTGCCAGCGGCTCGGGGCATTTGATAACTCCCCAGCTAACGCAATCACTCGCGCTCAGTAATTACAGCTGCTGCTCGCCCCACACCTGGGAGGACGCGGGACGTGCTCAGAGGCCGGGTGTTTGCCAGCAGCACCAGCTCTGGGGCTCGCTGTGCCTTTCCTTTGAAGTGTCAGAGCTCAGCCTGACGTGCTGGCAGCTCCCACTGCTTTTTCCAGCCCGCTGCTCCCCTCCCTGACCCCGGCATCGCGCCTCGCGTAGCCGGCTCCCCGGGGCAGGCATGTTTGCGCAGCCCTCGGCCTCCCCCTGCTCCAAAGGAAACCCGAAGCTGTCAAAGCATCGAGCCTCAGCCTCGGCTCGTTTCTCCCTTCGCCTTTTTTCCCTTCTTTTTTAAGCAGCTGCCCCGTGGTGGTGCTCGCAGCCCCGGGGCGGGGGCACTCGCCCTGTCCTGGCGTGCACCGTCGCTGGCCGGCCGTGGCCACAGAACCCTGCCAGCCCCTTCCAGCCCGGCAAGCAGCAAGCGTTTCATAAGGAATACACAGCTCAGGGCTGGGAAATCAACATCTTTCTGTTTCTCCCTGCCTGGGGGAGTTCGGCTCCCATACTTTAATTTTGCACATTTATTTTGATTGAAGCCGAAGCGGACGGAAGGCTGAGCCCAGCTGCCAAGGCTGTAAAATCAGCCGTCAGGAGCCTTCCCAGAAGCTGCCGTGCCCTCCGCTGCCTGTGCCGGGAGGGATGGGATGGATCCAGCCCAGAGCCAAGCACGGGCAGTGCTGGGGGGCAGAGCAGCCACCCCTAGGTAGCATCACCCCCCAAACCTTCCTGCTGCAGCAGCGCCATCCAGAAAGTCTGCCTTCTGCTGGTTTAATCTCAGCACGGCCAGAAATTAAAGAAAACCCCCCAAACGGTGCCAATCTGCAGCCCCTGGGCTGGGCGAGGAGCTGGGCACGGGGTGGGGGTCAACATCCCCAAATCCAACCCTCGTGGGTTGCCCCCGTTTGTGGCACGGGGTGGGCTGCACAAAGTGTCCCCACCTCACTTGGAGACCTCTCCCACGGGGGACGTGGCCCCGGGTGCCACCAGAGCCACCGGCAGCGCTCCCCGGGCAGGATAAATGCCCCCATCCCCCGGACAGCAGCGGGGTGGCTCCTCCGCACGCTCCCTCCTGGAAGCAGCGCTGCCGCCCCGCGCCCTTGCATGCCTTTCTGCGTGATTAGCAGCGTGCGTAATGACTCCAATTAGGAGAGCTGGAAAGCTCGAGGGAGCTGCGGCTCTGCTTTCCCAAATGTCAGGTGGAGGTGGAGCGGCAGAGGAAGTGTTTTCATCTCGAAGGCATCTGCGCCGCTGCTCCAGCGGAGGCAGATGCTCTGGGAGCAGCTCCTGCAGCCCGGGAGCTCTCCGAGGATTTGCTCTCCTGCGGGTGGAGGGCTGAGAAACCGCGGCCAAAGCCAACACCGAGGGGGCTCCGGGCTCTTTGCTGATATCCCCAGCATCTTCCCAAAGCAGCCAGGGGATGCAGCTGCTTGGGAAAGAGTGTCACCACTTCTTCCTCCTTTAGCGCTACCAAAACAAGGGATGGGGACATTTTCTGGGAGGAGAGGGGCTCAATGTGATTCAGCATCGCTGCTCGGAGCCTGGCTGCAGAAATAGCGGGGGGGAGGCGAGGGGCAAGGGGAGCACGGGGCGAAGGCAGCCACGACCCGTGCTCCCTGTTTGTTTTTCAGCGCAGGCTTTGGGGCTTTGCTGAAGCCGGAGGAATTCATCTCGCTGAAAGAGCCTTGTTTTTCGTGGAGGAAATGAGACAGCGGGCTTTTAATAGGAAATAAAAACACGTAAAATAAAGAGAAACTGAGACACAGGCCTGGAAAAATGTCGAGCCATCCAGCTGCGTCTCGCCAGCAGCCTGGCCCCTGCCAGCAGGCATCGCTGCATGCAGCCCGGCCGCAGCGACCTCGGCCCCAGCCCCTCGTTGCCTCCCCGGCCCCGCAGCCCTGCTGCCCACCCAGCTCCCCACGGCCCCCTGGGTTCTCCTACAGTGGGGGAAGAGGCTCCTTCCTCTGCCCGTCTCCATCATCTGCTCGGGTATCACCCAGGTGTGGAGCTCGGGGGGCTTTGGGGGTGTCTGGATGAGTGGTGGAGGGACACAGAGAGAGATCCATCTGTCGTCCTCAAGGGGAATCACCGATGCCACAGCGCAAACCACTTTGCAAATGTGGCAGCCGTGTTGAGCTGGTTCCATACGGGGCTGGAAATGAATCCGGATTCACCCAGGGGGGTTTAAACCTGGCCAGCTGTGTGCTGGGGCTCCAGGAGCAGAGCAGGGAAGGAACCACGCAGCCTGGAGGCTCCCCGTGATGCTGAGGACATCAGCGGGGACGCCAACAAGGGTAAATCTGGGCCGCTATGGGGACAGCCCAGAAGGAAAAGCGCTGATGATTTTCCAACCCTGAATTGTGCCTTCCGATGGAGCTGTGCTGGGACCCCCGTGCTGGGATATGGTGTGTAGGACTGAGGGCACCCCACAGACAAACGGACACCCCAACCGGCATGGTTCAGCCTGCCCTGGGAGGTGAGGAGCTCACGGTCCTGTAAACCTGCAAAGAAAACCAGCCAAAGGCTGGGTTTGAGGTTCGCCAGCTGTGCTTTATGGGGATTTGCACCGGGATCGGAGAGCGCTCCCGGCTCCCGGCTCGCTCGCGTTGATTAAGTGAGACACTTAAAGAGCGAGGGAAGGGCTTGGGGGAGGAAGATGGTGGCCGTGCAGGGGAAGAGGCCACGGAAAGCCCTGGAGATGCCTCTGGGAGCAGCTCCGTGGTCTCCCAGCACAGCCCTGGTTAAATCACAACGCAGCGCACAGCTGGAGGGTGCCCTGGGGAGCTCCCGTCCTCCTGCCCCCAGGAGCATCCCTCGCAGCAGCGCCGTGCCTGACAGCCACACAGCCCAGCCCAGGGCTCCTCGGGCCACCAACCACATAGAAAAGGGTGGCCACCATCCTGGACATTGTCCCCATGGCCAGCAGGGACCAGAGCAGCAGCTTTAGGGCCGGCATCTATCCTGGCTGCGTGCTGAGCCCCAGGACCGAGCATCCCCGACAGAAGCCAGAGCTCCTGACCCCAGGGTTTCTCCCGAAGCCGTGCCCTGGCCGAGTGCCCTCTGTCTCCCCCGGGGTGTCCCCATCGCAGCTCGCCCGCCCAGCCGCCCCCGGTTTCCTTCCAGCAGACACCGTCCTGACATATGAAGTCAAACCCCTCCTGACGCAGCTCTTGGCCATCGGAGGAACCAGCCGCAGCTACGGACGCAAACAAGCCATGTTTCCACCCTGGGCTCCTTCCAGCCCCGTCCTGGTTGTCTGCAGAGCCGCACCCAGGACTCGAGCCATGCACAGGGAGCTGGGAGGTCTGGTGGCCCTGACCTGGCATTTCGTAGCCCTCTGGGGACGGTGGCATTTGGGGTCACGTTGTCCCCGTGCCCAGAGCCACCTTGGAGCTTTGGCAGCTCCCGACGGCGGCACGGGGGCAGTATCAGAGCAGTTCAACCCTTTGAAATGCTCCTCAGGGGCAACCTGCAGGGGATTTCTGAAGCTGCAGATGCTTCAGGACAACCTTGCTCGGAAACATTTAATGGGGAGGGTTTGGGAAGGGAAGGGAAGCAAAGTGAAGAAGTGAAGAGAAGCAAAGAGAAGTGAAACGAAGTGAAGAGAAGACAAGACAAGGGCAGAGCCCAGGGCTCTGCAGCCTGCAGGGAGCAGAGGAAAGCAGGGGCTGGGGCCCAAGGAGCTGCCCCAGCGAAGGAGTCTGCAGCTGGGGGGCACAGCTGGAAGCCCCCAGGATCACTGGGAAAGGCTGGGAGAAGGAGGCAGGAGGAGAGACCTTGAAGGAGTTTTCAACCGGCTCCTGCAAACATTTCCCCAACAAAAGCTCCTTCAGTCCCAGGGCGCCCGGCCCCTTGCGTGGAGCCAAGGGTAACATCCCTGCGTGTGAAGCTGTAAGGAAACGTGCTCATTTTTCAGCACATTTGCTAAAACGCTGCGTGCAGAGGGGGGGGAGCAGAGCTTTCCCCGTGTCATATCAACAACGTGTCCCCTCCCCTCCCGTGGCACTGCTGGGGGAAGGATCGAGGCCACCCCGGGGTACTGATTCCCACCTGGGGGTCTCCAGGAGATTGCACCAGCAAGGCCGGTGTTTGCTGCCGGTTTCCTGCGAAGCGCACCGGGATGGAGACATTTACTTAGGATTTCACATTATTAACAGCCACCGCAGGAAAAGGTCAGGGAAAGAGAGAAGCCCACGGTGTTATTTCCCGGAGCAAATGCTCGAGGAGAGGGATGCTGCTGGGGTTTCCTCCAGCGGCTCCGTAACAAAAGGGGATTTTCCCCTTGAAAACACCCAGAGAAAGAAGCATCCGAAAGAATTCCTGGAGGGCTGCCAGGGCAGTGGGGAACCCCCCCTCCTGGGGCGAGCAGGGTGCCCGGAGCTGTTACCAGGAGGTGCTGCAGGCGCTGGGTACCGCTAGCAGCAGCGCGCAGCCATTCATCACCAGCCCTCGAGGGTGTTACGGGAGAGGATTAATTAATTTTTACACACAGCTTAGCGCGGGGCTGGGTGCGATCGTGCATTATTCAGGCGTTCAATAACACAGCTGATTTATTAATGAGGAGGTCAGGCTCCCTGGAAATGAAGGCTGGTTGTAAAACCGCTCCCGGCCAGGATGTTTCGGAGGAGCCGCTGGAGCGGAGCCGGCTCGGGGCCGCACAGCGCCGCTGGCTGGGACGGGGACGGCACGCAGAGCTGCCCTGTTCCTTACAGCCCATTAATCCCCGTGCAGCTTCGGAGACGCACGTTCCTGCTCCGGCACGGGCAGGAGGCCGCGGAAATGTATGTGCAGGAGCCTGGAGCGGCATCTATAGGAGCGGCTCGCTGGCTGCCTCCTCCCCGCAGCCGCTGCCGCAGCCATGGAGGACCTGGGGAGCCAAAGAGACCCAGGGCTTACACATCAGCATCGCGCTCTTGCAGGGAAAAAAGGGAGAGAAACGCAGGCAGCCAACCCCTCCCTCCAGCGCGGCGCTGCTGGCCGGGAAGGAGCTGGCTGTCGGCGAGGAGAGCTGGAGCTGG